CGGTGAGGTGTGTGGGATAGTCGTCAGAGTCCAAGAACTCAAGGAGGGTCCCGGTGCTGTTTGCGCGCAATGCCTCGGTGAGGTGCTGCCTCTCCCATTTGTGGAACATGAGGAATAGGTCTCGTCGGTCCTCGGGTGCCAGGTTGATGAGGTCGAGGCACATGGTTTCGGCGAGGAACTTGGAGTGGTCGCTGATGAGGCGGCGCAGGTGGTTGTTGGAGGTTCCGGGGTGGATCTCGCGCAAGGAGTCCATCATGTCCATGTGGGTGTTCGTGCGGATGGTGCCGACGGCCTTGTTGGTCATGTAGTCCAAGCGGCGTCGCCATGCTCGTCGGCACAGCTTGCTGAACACCTCGAGGGTGAATGGCCGGCGGTTCTTCACGTCGAGGGCTGGTACCCTGATCCAGCGGCGGTTGACCTGGTCCCACCTGTGCACGGTGATGTAGGCGTCGTGAGCGTCGTCCGTCTCTGGCACCGCAATCTGTAAGGTCGGTGGGGCGATGGTATGGTCGCTGATCATGGCCGCGAGGTCGGGGTGCTCTGCGATGGTGTTGTACGGTGCGTGTTCTGCAATCAGGGAGTTCGGGTCGGCCAGGAGCTCCTCGAACTGGAACCACGGCACGCTACTGGTGTCGCAGGTAGCGCACCCGTAGCACGCCCCGACCCACTTGTTTCGCCAGTCGGTTTCCTCTGAGAAGCAGAGGGGCATGATGTACTGGGATTGGTATGGGATCTGGCAGAACGAGCACTGCAGTGTGGCTGGTGTTGGATTCAGGTTGTGCCAGTCCAGCAGCAGGTAGCGTGTCCGCGTGTCCGGCTCGGTGTTGGTCGACTCCATGAAGAGGTCGATCGCGTCCGTGGTGGAGAGGCGGGGATTCTCGGTGCGGAAGGTCTGGAACCTCGAGAGGACGCCGGTGTTGTAGGACCGCAGGAGGAGCTCGCAGACTGCGTCGGTCTCGCGAAGTGCCATGTTGTGCGAAGGGGGTGCGATATCGGATACACAAAAACCAGCCTGAAAATTCCTTCGGAATTGGAGGTGGCGCTTGCCGAACTCACGCAGGAGTCGGTAGTGTGCCGGGTGTGAGTCAAAGGGGGGGGGGTTGGTCGGGCCAGGGGGGTGTGTCTAGGTGACTCGGGTCCAAGGATGGCCCGTTGATGGGGGGGATCTGTACGACGCGCCACACCGGCACAAACGTCGTGTTAGATGACACGCCACACCGGCACAAATGTCATCCCGAGGGGTGGAGCTGTCCCGTAGGACCAACTCCCTGCGGTGTGAAGGTGACCGGGGTCGGCCAGTTTGTCATCAGGGATCCGACCCGAAGAAACCGAGGGTAATCCACAGGGGATCCGAAGTGGGGTGAAAGACCGGTCGGGTTCGGGGCAGGCGAGTGGGGATTGGTCACCGCAGTATGGGCCTCAGCAGTGGGTCGGTTTGTCAAGGGGTATCCTCTCGAATCAAACAGGGGGGACGAAGAGGGTCGACCCGGGCTCGAGGCTCTCAGCGCTTTTGCGCGGTCCGAAGATGGATCTCTCTTCGGGAAAAGGGGGCCTCAGGCGGTCGCCTAGGCATGGGTGTCACCTGTGCGGTATGAGGGTCATCGCCCTATTGCTGGCCCACCATCGCACGGGACATGGACTTGGTGGGTCAACTTAGGGTGGCGGGTTTGGAGACTCCTCGGTGCCGCCTGGTCAGTAGCGGGAGTCCTGGCTCTGCTCAGTCTTAGAGCTCCCGGTTGAAGCGCAGGTGTCCGTCGGGGCCGAGCAGGATGCCCTCGATGGTCGCCATGGTGCGTTGTTCGGGGGTCAGGAAATTGGAAATTGTCTCAATGATGGTCTCCCCGAAGGTGATTGCCATGTTGTCCACAAAAGGGTCTCGCCGGGAGGCGCGACAGAGCTGCCTCCCGAAGGTAAGCCAGGAACAGGTCAGTTGTTGTAGCATGTGCTGCCGGTTGGCGCTGTTGAGCAGCTGGAGTTGTTGGTGAACGTGTTGCTGGATAATCCAGCGCAGCAGGCTCCTGAGAGGTGTGACCTGCGTAGTTGGTTCCACGGGTACAAGAAAAAGGCCCCCGAAGTCATTGCCGTACACATTGGTGGGGGTGCGCGAGAAGATGCCGTAGTTGGTCAGGTGCCATTGCAAGCCGATGTGGTCGAGGACGGAGGGGAATTCCGGTAGCAGTTCCGGATTGATCAGGAAGGTGGCATCTTCGTGTACCCGCGCGCGGATGTGTCCGGCCCGCTGGGTTGACAGCAGGCCTTGTGTGCTGTCGTCACGGTCGATGCCTGGCGGCTGGAGCCACTGGACTAAGTCGTGATGTTGGTTGGATGGTGTGGGGGGTGCCGCCTTGGATGGTGTGGTGGGTTGCGGGCGTGGTGAAGGCATGTGGTGCGGGACGGGCCCGGTCGATGTGGTGGTCGCCTCCGGGAATCGGGCCTGTCTGGGAGTGTCGCGAGCCGTGGGTGTCGCGAAGTTGACGGTCCGCGGTGGTGTCATAGCTCGGGAGTATCCCGGTTGTGTGGAGCGGCCTCGCTGCTGTCGGGGGGTGTTGTTCCGTTGGCGAGACGGGTTCAATGTGCTTGGCGGGCCACGTGGTACCGCGTATGGCATCTGGTAGGTGCACGGATCGGGGTACCGAACGTTCATGTGGTGAATGGGCGTGTTCCACTCGCCGTGAAGGTGGTCGCGGAGGATTTCAAAGGCCTCCCGCCTGGACACGAAGCGCCATTCACGGTGGGCTGTGTCATAGTGGATGCCCACGCCGGTGTTGGGTCTGGCATGGTGCACGAAGCGCAGCCAGGCAAGAAGGTCACCATGCAGGACTGAGTCGCTGTGAACATGGCGGCATTCGGCACCACTGTCGCAAAAGCCTTCTGGATGCCGGGCCTGTTGTCGAAGATGTCGGTAACAGATGTTGTCTCGCGGCATCCAACGCGCATCAACGAACTCCGGATGCAAAAAGGCGCACTGGTGGGCAGAGGCAGGTGCACGTCCCCTGCAGCCGGAATGGTTGATGAACTGGTTGCAGACCTGATTGCCCTGCAAGATGTTGCCCGGACCGACCGCCTCGGGCAGGATCGAAAGATGGTCCTGAAGGGCCCGGTACAGTCGTTCATAATCCGGGTCGAGCTCGGTCATTTCCATGAGCTGGTACTCCTCCACGATGGATGCGAAATTCGCTGGAGCAGTCATGGCGGTCGAGCAGGCAGGGCAGGTAGGTCGGAAAGGAAAAGAAAAGAAAAAATTGGCTAATTCGCCAAAATGGCGAACGGAGCATGAATCAAGCAGTGTCATCCTGCAGGCACTCAAGGTTCGAATCTGAGTGTGATTCAAATGCCTTCCGCTATCGGTTGTTACTTTTAACACAAGTGTTAACCGCAACATTGACTTGGTGGCATGTTTATTGACCACTTGCTATACAACTTCTGAATCACGACCACAAACAGGCATAGCCTTGCATGTTTGTAGCATCCCGGTTCGGGTGGTTGATTCAATTCAACTTGTAGAGCCCTCCCCATCCCCGAGGGTGATGTCTCAAAAGGTGCAGCCCGAAGCACGCAAGGCCAAATGGCCCCGATGCTCCATCTTCCATGCGGCATAACGAATACAAGGAACTCGAGAAAATTAATCATTGCATATCCGGAGACGCACACTCTAAACCTTCCGTCGTTCAGGTACGACAATAATTCAAGTTATCTATGTCTCGGATGTATATAGCCCTCCCTTTGCCGAAACCGTCAAAAGGGGTTTTGGGTGATTGTGTGTGTGTGTTTAAGCATGTGTGTGTGTTTAAGCATGTGTGTGTGTCTGTACAAACAAATCATCTGGTTGGAGAACAACCCATGGACCACCCAACAGTGGTCGCATGCTGGCTTGGTGTGAAAGCAGTGAATCAGCGCGCTGTAGCATCTTGACAGCCATGCAACGCAAATATCCCAGGACAGCAAGCCTGCACCCAACAAAATGACATGAAGCCAACATCACAGGGTGGTTGCTCCTCCCTCCCTTCCCTTGCTGCGATCTGATGTTTGTGTCCGCTCATCTAAGAGCTCCAGCCTGGCATGGTGGTCACGTCGTAGGGAAACGGGGTAAAGTCCCCGTGGTTCATCCTTCAGGGCTCAGGAGGCGAGGCTGAACAGAGTGACCCCTTTGCGGTAGGGGACGCTGCCGCATAATTGGGACGCACGAGGAATCTCCTGAGGAACTGAGACCTAATATATCAGTGTTTAAATTGGCGGGGGCATCATCTCATTCTTTCATAGGTCCATGACACGTACATGCCCAACTGGCAAAACCGGCGCCCCCCTCTGCATGAGCATGAGCTTGACCTCAAAACTGGCCCAGACAAAGCTGCATAACATATCTTTGACAGCTTTCTGTCAAGCGCAGTGGTAAACCTATGGATCCACAAGTTCCAAGGTGCTTGATTTATTGATCTCGAAGCTCTTCGTGTCTACTCCATTCGCTGCCATGCTTGTCCATCATGTTTACATCCCAAAGATCGGACTTCAATCTGTAGCTGACAATCAGTTCTTGTTGCCCTGGTTCAGCTTAACAACCCAATGCAACACCTAGAGCAAAAACACCCAACTCTTGCTTTCTTAAGAAGTGAACTCATGCTTGAGAACAAACATATTCTCTGCAAAAGCCATGACTTTAGGTCCAAGGAAACAACAAGTCCATTTGAGTTGTGCATCATGCTTTCAAGCCAATACCCACACACACACAAAATAGTGAACAAAGCCAATGCTGCAGCTTGATAGAAAGGACATGTCCTTTCCAAGTGCTGAGCGCTATGTCTTCTGAAATATCACACTGAGCAAGGGACTTGCAATTTAGTTGGAAGCTAACAAGTCACTACTTGCCACACAACTCGGAATACATGATTGTGGATACTCCCTGAAAAATCCCAAGACTTGGCCCTTCGATGTCCATTCCACCGCATCGGCTCCCCTATAAAATCAATGCCTTCGGCCATCTGCACAAGTTTCCGCGCCTCCGGTCAGCTGAGCTGCTGGTACTTTCCGAGCCGCTGGGCCGTGAGGAGCGGGGAACCACCGGCATCACTGGCTTCGGCGCAGTGATCTTCGGACCCCGTGGCCTCAGCCCAAAGGGGGCAAAGCGATTCGGACCCAAAAAGGAAAGGCCCTAAACAAATGTTCTTATTCTCTGTGTCATTTCAAGAAGGCATTGCTGCTTTGCAGGCCGGTGGCTTCTCGCCGTCCTCAAGCACCTCCAGGTGTGGCATCTCGTTGGCCGGCGAGGCGGACAGCGAGGGTGTCTTCATCTGTGTTTGGTTGGAGGGTGGCGAGCGCACATTGATCACCGGCACCGGGGATCTGAACTGTGGGCTGATGTTGGCCGCCCGCGGTGGGCTGACGCACTGCGTGGCAGGTGTGGCGCTCTCAGCCCGATCCCGATGCGGGCTCACAGGTCGCAGTCCCGGGGGAGACAACCTGTTGGGACTGGTCGGGCTTTGCACCGCTGTGGCTGGGCGGGTGGCAACTTCGCACCGCTCACATTCTTCTCGGACCTGCCCGTGTTTCAGCTTGCAGCTTTGTCCGTTTGCGGCAGGCAAAAAGCGTCTCAGCATCAGACAAGGGTTACACGAATAATGACCATCTTAAGCTAGCATGAATGCGTCTTAGATATCCCGAGCGGAAGCATTCCATGAAACTTCTGAAGCCAAGTGCCTGCTCTCGCACGTCAATGGGTAGGAGCCACTCCGACCGAAGGCAGCACCAAATCACCGTGGCCATCACAAGGGGCAGCACCACCAGGAGGATGCAAACCGTAAAGGAGGGCGAGGAGTCCCAAAGCAAGCTCACTGCAAACATGCCCGCGAGCACTGCCGGGATCCCGGCCGCCCAAACCACCAGAAAAATGAGAAACTCGTGGCTGGCAGTGGCACACAGCAGGCCGCAGTGGCAGGCTAACCTGCGGACACACGGCAGGGCTGTGAGCAACACGGCCAGGATGCTGCAAAACAGCTGCACCCAGGCCATCTGAACGACTCCTTCTGCGAAAGGTAGCTCGGTGGCACCCCGGGCAATGAGCGCCAATGCGGCTCCCACCTCACAGCACTCTGAGAAACACCATAAACAATCTGGAGGAAGCCTCGTACATGCGATGACACATCAAGCCGCCAGGTAAATATGTTCTGCGCGTGCTTTCCACTAATCACGAGGGGTGTCGTGGCTGATTCAAACTGTCAAAGAATACAGATCGATGCACAGCCAGCACTGACTGCTCTGCAACCCATGACACGTGCAAGTCAATCCCACAGCTGACGGCTCTCATGCTTAGAAACATATTGGCCTCTGCCAGAGCGACCAGCGCCTTTGAGTTGTGGTGCCCGCAACCATGTCCGTGCCATATCATCCAGCCCGAGGGTCCCAGAGGTCCAAGTACCCTTCGCTGATGGGTTTTGAGTTGATAGGGGAGGAATATTTGATGTTCTTGGTGGTTGTGTTGAAGGACAATTAAATGGTACCCATCCATTTTGAGGGTTGCACCATTGAGAAAATTCTTGGGTCCACCCCTACCCCCATCCCCCACTCAGCCTCCGCTGCCATAGCCCAGCACATCATCTTGGGCGCTGGCAATAATCCCAGGCCGCACAGGGGCCTCAAGTACATTCAAAGGAAAGTGCCCCAGTGTCTGGTTTCGATGACAGAAAGCCTCGAAAAAGGGGTGCGTCTCAAACAGCTTCAAAATGGTCAAAATGAACGATTTCTCTGTCTTTCGGGAACACCCAAACAAAGTCACCCTCAACAGAAAAAAAAAAAAAAAAAAAAAAAAAAAAAAAATTTGCAAGGGGCGTGAGCACGCAGACCACGAAGACGCTGTCGTGCATCAGCAGCAGGGTGAAGACCATGACCCCAAAGCTGGCCAGAGCCGAGGGCACTGCCACCACCTTCTCCACCACCTGCAAGCAAATAGATCTAATATTATGAGGGTACCCCTTTGAGGGATGGTGTTTAGGAAAAAGGAACACCATTTGATACCATTTGAGGGTCTGTTTAGACCTTGGGTTGGCAAGCTGCAACTCGGCGGCGTTCCTGCAAACACGAGCTTGTGTCGGTTGGGCAAACGCGCAAATGGAGGTTTACATATGCTCCCTAAAAGAAGATGCAACGAAACGCGTACTCGGCCAGCCTTCAAGGGCTCCGCAAGACACACGTGAGGAAACCTGCCTAGAAATCGAAGATCGCCCTTCCCAATGGCTGGCATGGTTGGGTTTGCTTTCAAACTCCTCCAAGGGGGCAAATGATTTTTGACAAACATGTCGGTGGACCTGTCTGGGGAGCCGTGCGAATGAGAAGTGCCACGTTGGTGTCCATGTTTGTTAACAGAATACCTTGCTATGTTGGGAGATGGTCTTGCAAGGAAGTGGCCAAATATTGGTAGCAGCTGCTGTGGCAATCTAATATTGGTTTGTCCTGGTGGAAAGGGACGTCTTTCATCATGCCGGAAAATTCATTGGCACACCTTCCGGCTATCTTAGGCACCTTAAAGTGCATTAGCTGAAGGTCTGCTGGAAAGGGACGTCATCACGAAGGGGTAGAAGGGAGCCGCTGCCAGCCACAACAGTAATTGCTCCCTCATCCGTGCTCTCAGTCGGTTCCTTGCTTTTTTGCCCATGGTCTTGGCTAGTCGAAGGGACAGGGTCTCAAATTCCGACTTCGGCGGACGAAATGGTCCGAGTTTACCTCACGTCTCTTGGCACCGAGTCTTTCCCTGGCCGCGGCTCCCACTTGAAAAGGTTCATTGAGGGCCACAGGCATTCCTTCACAAGCTGTAGTCAACGGCCGAATTGTTGGTCGACAGGTGGCTGGTTGTTTATCCAGAATTCAGGAACTTTCGTTTTTGTTCCGCTCAACAACCATCAGCAAACAGGCTCCCTTCCCATTTGGGACATGTCAATAGGTGAATATGGTCAATATTTGATCTGCGCCGTGCACTCTCATCCTTTAGCATTGGGAACGTCACAGCGTGATCCCTACTGCAGATCAAATTGCCCACAACATCATGGACATACTCTACGCCGAAATGCATATTGACCGCAGCCCGAAGCGTGGCTCAAACAGTTCATCTGGCTATATCTTGCTTGCTTTGGCATGTTTGCCATAGTTCACTGGTTGCGGTGGTAAGGCAAGTATCACCCTGTAGGTGTGAGCAAGACAAGGTAATTACATCATAACAGTTCTCATATTTGCCCGGAAAGATATCGATGCTCTGTGGGACAAAGGATTTGGCTGCTCCACCTGGGCATGCCATCTTTGGGTAGCACCCTGTTTGGGGTTTCTTCAAAGTCAAATCAAAGGGACACCACGAGACCACGCCTTGCGGCATCTGCCCATCTTTGAAAGATCCCGCAAGAAGAAGACGCTAGCGCCAGAAAGGAAGACGAGGCCGCAAATGAAGCCCGAGACCACGCCGCCCACTTCGAAGAGGTTCGGCTGTTCAACCACAACATCCCAGAACATATTTCCAGACAGCAGGCACCTTGGCTAGCTACGTGTGTGCAGCAGCTGACACAGCAATGTGGATACAGAAGCAGACTATTCCAGGGAACAAATGAAAGGAGCATCTCTTGAAAGGTAAGACACCAGGGGCGATCACCGGTGCAGTTGGCTGTGCCGAAGAACTCGCTGCAAACATCCAGGGCTTTGTACTGCTGGGCGTCCAGGGATTGCCAGGTATCCTGGACCTGGTCCGACAAGCAGGAGTATCCACAGGAGTTGGAGAGACACCTGGCGGCCGCCACGTACGAGACCTCCTGTGGGCCGAGGACAAAGGCCTTGAGACGCCATTGGTTGATCTTCACCAAGGCATCGGACAAAGGCTTCACCACCCACGTAGCTGGATTCACGTAGTTTATGCCGATCTCTCCCATGTGGTCCACCAAGACCTCGCAGGGGGGGGTGAGTGATCCTTTCCTCCCCTGTTGATGCTTCCTTGCAACTTTCCGCTTGCACTTTTGCTTTCTTGCAATAACACAGCCACACGTCACTTAGCACTTGTCAATGAACAGCTCATAAGCCCGAACAAGCGCGAACGCTTTGGTGAATTAAACACAACTCTCTGCATATCCAGACCTTTTTGCACGAACAACCACAGCCAGCACTTGGCGATGCTCTACACGGCCAGTAAGTGTTTAGGAGGGATATGCGGGTTTATTCTGGGGATACAACTGATACAATCAAATGAGCACTAAATTACGACACGAACCATTGTGATGGCCTCTATCCCATCTTCACACACGCACACACATGACATGCGGTCGCCGTTTTGGGACCCTGGTGTGAAATGTGGACCCCGGATTAAACAGCGCCTGCTTGACACGTTGGGGGGGTCCCGTTTCAGAGGAGATCCTTCACTTTGGGGTGTGTCTCCCATCCACCAGGATCAATCCGGGGTCAACGTTCTGCGGGTCTCCGAGTGGAGCCCATGTCATGGCCAGCCTGGGTAAAGCCCAGCAGCTGGCCGTGGCTCAGCATCTCTGCAGGCACTAGAAGCAGCGCGCAGCTGAGCAGCGCGAAGAGCCTAACGAGCGTTGCGCGAAAGCGGCGGTGCAGTGGTGTCCGTGTCCCCTTGGCTTTGCCCTTAAACGCAGCCTCAACAAATCCATCAAGCCAAATTAAGGAAGCCCAAAACCAATGTCCACATCCCGGCTCTAGATTCTGAAGGCCAACTGCTCGGATGCAATTTCTGATAAGATTCCGATGCCCCAAAAAAGCACACGTCTCCCAATGCAAAACCCCATCCTCTCCCGACTCCAAGGCGCTTCATCAGCTGAAACGAGGCTACGCCCCACACCGCTCGTGTCAGGTGCAGCCGGTCGCACGGCATCATAGCCACCAGCAACGGCAGAAAGCTAGCGCCCACCTCAGATTTTGGGGACAGAAACACAGTTGCATCCCAAAAGAGGCCGAGTTGTGTGTTTCTATGTGTTCTTTTGGTTTGTAAAAAATATCAACAACAATCGCTTAAAAACAACGGAAGACTAACTTTCAATTTGCCCTAAAGGTGACGTTAAACCAGTGGAAACCTGTGAGTCGCGATCAAAACCTGAAGATACACAAAGGCCATGACGGTGCCCGCCCCGATTTACCTTGCACTTTTCTTTGTGGCTTGACGAATGGCGACTCTTTCTTTGGACTTGGGTTTCAAGCATCCAAAAGCTTCAAAAGTCAAACCCCGTGTGGGGCCCTTGAAAGGCGGTCCCAAGCTCTTCATGTTCGGCATGCCTCGTGAGTCTTTAAACGGTGTTGGAATGTGCGCATTCCCAAGGGGATTTACAGCCGCCAACCACTTTTGAGGGCGCCAGTTAACATTCCGGGGGGGGGGCGGGGGCTGGAAACTCAAATCAACACCCATCCCATCCCATCCCATCCCCTTTTGGCTTCCTTGTTGGAACATGTAGTCATCACAGGCAATAATATTCATCACCCAGCATTCATACCCATCATACCACACCCACATCCCTCACATTCCAACTCCACTCCTTCAATCCGAGGTGCCGTGGTGCCGATGGCCAACAGGATGCCCTTGTGGATGTCCAGCTGCTGGGAGGACACCTTGGGTTCCAAATAGATGCACCTACCAAATTGGAATTAGCTAAGCCAAATCTAAGCCAACGAATCTCCCGCCGACCGCAGTCGTATAAAGGGTTCTCCAACATAGCACACCTTAAGTTGCAAGGTCCTGATTGAAATTGCCCACTCAAGCGTGCTTTTGAGTTTTGAACTGAAAAGGACATCGCATGCCTTGAGCAATTTTATTCCCTCACGCAGCAAACTACGTTTGTGCTGGGACAAGGGCGGAAGCGGAAAACACCAGAAACCCAATTGACAATTAGTGCTCCGCCCCTAGAGGCATATTCTTTGTAGTGGGAGGGGGAGGGGGGGCATTGACTAGTTGTAAGGGATTATCGACCCAGTGAGCAAACGGCTTACGAGTTCGCCGAAAGAGACCCACCGGGTTGAAAGTACCTAAACAAGTTCTAACTCACTAGAAAGGTTACCCCCCCTTCAGGACCTCAGGATGGGATTCGTTTGTGCGTTGAACGGCTCACGGTACACCAAGACACCATCGTGCCCGCCAGGTAGATGGTCTCCGAGGAGGACTGCAGCAGCACAGTGCTCAGGGACCCCACCATGAATGCCATGAGGCTTCCGGCATCCTTGCCTGAGATTCCAGTTGCAAAAATATGCAGAAGCTCGGCAGGAATTTGTGTTGGCCTGTTTAATTTATCTCATGTTGGTCTGTCTGTTGGTTCGTTTGTTGGCCTGTTTGTTTGCTGGCTTGTGTGTTTGGTTGGTTGCTTTTTTATAACGTTGAAGGGGTTGATACATGTTAATGCTTGCCAATGCTTGCCTGTCAACAACCAATGCAGCATCCCTCCATCCAAGCCAGGAGTCTTGCCAGTTCCACAGAGAAAGGAGGTGTGGACAGAAAACTCACGTCTGTGTGCAGCCCAAATCAGCCGCGCCTACTAGTGGATGTGCTGAAAGCCAGTTCGCAACTCAGTGTAATCCCAGGTATCTTAACAGTTGCCAGGGAATCCCCCGAGCACCTCGACACAACAAAACACGGCCACCTTTCAGAATGCCTTCTGATGGGGCCTCATTGGGTGTCCATTTTCCAAGGCGCCACCAGAGTGGCGGAACACCCCACGCTTTGGTTTCGCCAGGCCACCGCCCCTTAGAGCCCCGACAATCATCTTGACACTCATGCCCTGGAAGACCACAGACAGCACCGAGAGCGCGAGGAGCAGCAGCAGGCTGCTCAAGAACACCCGCATCATGTGACAGGCATAAAGAGCGCGCCAGGCCTGTCGATTTGATAAATTTGCAGACTGAGCTGCGTGGTGACTCTACATTCTCAAGGAAGTGTTCATCTAAGCTTATACTGAGAACTAAGACAGCGACAGAAAATCTCAATGGAGCTTTGTGTTGTCTCAAAACTCAAGCTCCCCGGAGTCCCCACCCAGGCTCAAAGTTATCGTTCTTGTTCCTTCCGCCCAAGCCATCCAAGCCACGCGCGATTATAGCAGCAAGTGGGTTCGCTGATTTAAATATCAACATGAGGCTGCCATTGGCCACACTGCATCCATGAACAGCACGCTTGCTCCCTTCAAAGAAACCACCAAACACACTACCCATAATGATCGATCGTTTGGCTTGTAGATGTTGAGATATGGTAATCGGACGAACCATGGCGCGAATGTCTCGAAGACTACCTGGCCAGCAAGAGAATTCCAACACTCACGATAGTAATGCAATACAAATACACCGTGGACCATTCCCCTTGCGCCCAGCAAGGAAAATACATTGGGGAAGAGTTTTCGGTGCACGCCCCGTTTCCGATTCGTCAGAGGTTTGGGAGGTCTCTTTTTGAGGTCCCCGATCGTAAACACACAAATGCACACACACACAGACACAGACACAGACACAGACACAGACGAGACACAGACACAGACACAGACACAGACACAGACACAGACACAGACACAGACACAGACACAGACACACACACACACACACACACACACACACACACACACACACACACACACACACCGACACACACACACACACACGCACAAACACACGCACACACATCCACACACACCCACACACCCACACACCCCAACACACACACACACACAGAGTCATGCGGTCTGAGGCCTTCTCCTCCACCAAGCTGGCCATGTGCCGGGCGCTGACATCCGGCGTGCGCAGTTGGGGCAGCCAAACCCGGGAGCGCCCCGAGCCTCGAGAGGCCGCCGAGGCCCGAGAGGCCGGAGAGGCCGGAGCCATGGCGTTACGCCATCCATGAAAGCGAAATCTGCAGTTTCTGGAAGCTGAGCCAAAAACGCCCATGGTGGTGTTCATTCCCCAACTCCCCGCCCCCCCCCCCCCCCCGCGCCTTTGCAAACATACATCATATGCATGTGTGTATATGATATATATATATATATACACATATACAACATATATATATATATATATAAAGCATGTATATCATGAAGCCTGCTGCTGTTTGCGAAGGAGCGACAACCCAACCGACCGAGCGTGCCGAGCAGCTAAACCAAGCCATCAACTTGTTCAAGTCCAGTCAGTCAGCCCTGACCTTGTGATAGACCAGCTTGGAAAGGTCTCTTACTTTCTAGAATGCAAGCATGGTTTAAGAGCTCCATTTTCCACGGGGACGAGCAAACAAAAAAGCAAGGCACAGCCGTGTAGTCCCCGCAAGTAGTTTGATCTGGGGGCCAAGGACATCCGCCGACATTGCCTGTGCTTGACCACCCAAACCGCCCATGTCGTTCATCATGTCGTTGAAATCCTGACCGCGCGTCCCTTCTCAACGCAAAACACACACACAGAGAGCATGTGTCCGGACGTCCTCAAATTGTCGCGCTCAAGACATGAATGTCGCACCGAATTGCGGTCCTTGTCCATTTGGGCTTTCTTCTCGGCCATCGCCTGGCCGAATGTTCAGGCGAGCGCATCTGGGGCCTCCCTTGATTTGGATCAAAAGCTCGAAGAAGCAACGCCAGACTTGTCAGCAAACAAGGAAGAGTGCACATTGCCGGGAAAAAAAGAGAAGAAAACATGAGCAGTCATATGCCCCTAGAAGCCGAGCAAGTCCCGCCTTCCAATCCACATTCTCTCGCTTGTTAATCTCTGCAGCCTTCTTACAGTCAGACCTTAGGGTCCCACATGAAAACCCTGTGGCAAAAGCACGAGATGAACCGACATCGGCCGAGCTCCCTCGGCAATCTGCAAGCTCAAGACTCAACTCATCAAATACCAAATGTCCAAACATGTATACAAATCCATCTTCCTGATGTGTGAGTCATGTGCAGGCTACAAAGCAAGCTGCACAGTTTTGAACAACAGCAACTGGAGTTCTCATAGGGGCCGTTATTTTTCGCGGGCTCTACACATTCACTCGAGCTAGCGAACGAACGCCAGCTCCCGCGCTGTTCCCAACAGCAGCCGTCTCAGAGAGTTTTACCGAAGCTCAAGACTCAGGATCAGGCGCCACGTGGCCCTTGTCACCGCAAATGGTACAGGTCACCTCACGAATTCCAAGAGACTCCTGTCGTCCTCTCTCAAAGAAACGCTGGGCTGTCACCAGTCAATCGCTGCAACCAGAAAGCAAGTGGTTCAAAGAAACGCCGAAGAATCGACTCTGAGAGCTGCACGTTTGCCATCTTGTAGTTCTGGTTGTTCGTTTCCGGGCACTCGAAACCTCGCATGCCGAGTCCCTGGAAAGGTGGTTCAGTGAATCACTCCAAGTACTCATTCCACCTGTCTTTGAAAGGTATATATATATATACGTACATGATATAGTGCAGAACATAATATATACATACATAAAACATATATGTATACAAACAAGCCAGGGTCTATAGACATGGGACAATTACAGAGTCCCAGGTGTTGTGCAAAATCGTACAAACATGGGGCATTACCAAAACTGTTTTGTCACTTTGCAGAGGACTCCCTTGGAATCACGAAGGTGGCAACCGCACGAACCACGTACTACGGGTGCAGGCGAGGAGCCCAAGTGTCCCAAGGCGCCGCAAATTCCACACCTCTGCTCGGCCTTGTTCAAGGAGAAGCCTGTCGCGTCCAAATGGTGGTGGAAGGGTACCGAGTAACTGCAAGATCGGATGGCTACGTTGGTATGCTAAAAGAAAGCCAGGACAGGCAATCGAGTCATTGAGCAAACTCGTCATGCTGCCAGACTCATCACAACCATTTCACTTTTGGTCGACGAACAATGGTTTAACACGCAGCCTTCTGGAATACAACGACTCCACGTCTTCTTCGCATGCAATGCCAAAAGTCACACCAATGCCCGAGCCATACTCAAGAATCATTGACTGATCTTGCTAACAGGCAATCTACTTTTCCTCCGCGCCCCAATGACCCAAGTATTTTGCCCCGAGATGCAATCAGAACTTGGCAGTATGTGGTTGACCCAAATTTATGGAAAGCATCATACAAGCGGGCAACCCCATCCATGGTTGGTACTGTCCCTAACTAACCTTCACTTGCCAGGTTGTGGCTCATCTGGCAGGACTGCAACAAAGGGCCGGGGAGACCGTTCACCATGGCAAGCTGCTGCATGCCGTGCGTTCGGGCCTTCAAGGCATTCGCGTGTGTGAGGGCATTTGTTTTATGAAACTAGCTGGGAGACACATTTCGCGGGCTGCTCGCGTTTCAAGGGGCTGTTCTTGTCCGTGACAACAAGCCATCGCAGTCAAGAGTAGTCTTCAAAAACACATGCCAAGCAAAAGCACACGTAATCTAAACTCAATGAAACTCGTCTGTACCGGGCTTTCCTCACTGCTTGCTTGCACCGGCAAAAGTGTTTGTGGCAGCTGCCATCTCGCAAGTTCCTGCGACTCTGAAGGCACCCGCAGCGCAGTGACTTACGGCAAGCAGCTATCAGTCAGGAAAGCTGCGGGACGACACCGACAAGCAAGTCACAGGCGAACACATATTTATAAGTGAGCAAGGGCCAATGCGAGCGTGCCGGTCAGTCCTTTCGGTGCTTGACTGGGTGGCTGGGTGGCTGGCTGGGTGAGTGTGTTCGTGTATATGTGTGTCCAGTGTGCATGCGCGTGTGTGTGTGCGCATGTGTGTGTGTGTGTGTGTGTCTGTGTATGTGTGTTACGGTGTTTGTTGTCATGTATCTACGTCTGAAATATTGAATTGAATATGTAGTGTGCCTAGTTGCAATGTTTTCAATTTCCGTGTCTATCCATGCATTTAGTTGAGTTAATCATTTAATTATTGCGTGTGGTTGCTTTGTCTTATAAACAACCTGTGTATGCACTTGTATATTTGCTTGTTGGTCGATTGATTCATTTCCTATCCATTGTTGTTATTCGCTTGTTGATTTCTTAATTTACTTGTCTATGTGTGTAATTGCTTAGCTGTGAATGTATGCTAGTTGTTGTTATATTAACATGTTTTGCTGATGTATCAATTGATTGGTTATCTGTGTGCGCGTGTGTCTATGTGTGTGCCTGTGTGCTTCTGTGTGTGTGTGTGTGTGCGTGTGTCTATGTGTGCCTGTGTGTGTGTGTGTGTCAGTGTCTGTGTGTCTGTCTGCGTATCTGTGCGTCTGCGTCTCTGTGTCTGTGTGTCTGTGTGTGTGTGTGTGTCTCTCTCTTGGCGTGTCTGTGTGATTGCGTGCAATCATTCTCCGCCAAGGTAGCGATCGAAAATGTACGTCAAAGGAGTGATTGCTCATGCAACTTCCCACATCATTCTTTGCACTTGGCCTGTTCTGGGGTGGGCGGGGGGGGGCACTTGCCAAAGCGAGCGGGATTGGGCAGAGTGTTGCTCCAGCCTCACGCTGTCACTAGCGCACGCAGCCCCTAAACACTCTTTGGAACCAAACGGCACTGCAGAGTGCTAAAGATTCGCACCAAACTGAAACCAGTGGAACCATCAGTTTCAACCACGCCAACCAGGGACAGCTATGACCTATTCACACTGAGGCTGCAGCATACTCGAACTCAGGACTCTCCGGGTTCAGCAGTGGCTCCACCAGTCGCTCGCAATGGAGGATTTGCTCCTGGCCAAAAGCTTGTGCTGCCAAACCAATGCACTCGAGTGCCTTTCACTCACCCACCTCAAATTAAATATCTGTCTCCCGTCCCAACCAAACCATGTGCGGAGAGAATTGTGCTATCCCACTTGGATTTTGGGCATCTGTCTACTTTTTACATGTGCGTTACGACACAGACGCAAACAGCTGTGCAAAACGATGTCCAGCATACCTTTCAAGGTGCCCTGCTCAACTGCCTCACTCCTCCCTCCAAGTCGCTGGCAGGGCAGGCAGGTCAGCAACTCACGCTCCTTTTTCCTCTGAATCTCTGTACTGCAAAATATAAGCTCCTCCACCAATGACCCCTCTGCATACTTATGCAAACTTCAAATCCGCAAGACATAGTGCATATCTTGAGTTTGAACCACCAAACTGGAGATCTGGGGAACAATCCGGGAGCTTGTTTACTCTAGTGCGAGGAGTCAACCACTTACGAAACTCTCAAACATGATCACACACCAATGATTTATGCTAGGTATGTGTGGTAGGGGCATATTAGAGGAGGAGGTGCCGGTGACATGCCCCATGTCAGATGGGCAATCTTTAAATAAGGACACCCTTGCCACACAGGCAAGCTGCCAAACGAATTGCCTGGCACAAACGAGGGATAGGCACCCTGCTCACGAGGGTTGAGCAAAGCGGGCCTGGACAAATTCGCCATTGCATCGCATCTGGTCATGCACTTGACGGGACTTCCTGATGGCATATCAACACAGGAAGCAGATTAAAGGTGTCAATTCTCAAAGCGGGCTAGTTCCTGCGTCCGGGTCAAGCGGCAGTTCGGCTCCCATCCAGAAACTGTCATTTCAAGCCAGCTCGGCAGTCGTTGTCAAAGTTGACACCGGGCACTCCTGTCAGGTCTCTCCACAAACGGAAAGCAGCCTTCGCCCTGAAAAAACATAGATGGAAACATGCCATTCCCAAATGAGCGAATTCAAACACAAAATGCAAACAACCTGATATCAAGCTCTTTAAAGTTTCCCCGCGAGTAGGCTTGCTACCTGAGACTCGGTCCTGGCTGCGAATGTGTCTTGCTCGTTCCCGAAAGCATGAGAAGCAATGCGAAGGGTTCTGCATAGCGCGCGTGTTCGCGTCTTGCATCCCACAAGTTGCATTCCACATCTTGCGTCCTACAGCCGCATCTTGCATTCCTTTGCTTGCACTTGAAACAGAAATTCGCCGACTCTTGAACATCTCTGGTGGGGTTCAGCGAAACGCACTCCTGACAGGGATCAATCGGGTCGGATCGCTCTTGCTGTGGTCCCGTGCAAGCTTGTGTTGTGCGTGCGCGACCCTCTGCAGGAAGAGCGTGAGTCTATAAAAGCTCTAATGATTTTACACAAAGAAACACGCGGAGAGAACTTGCATAGAGCAACTTGCAAAGAGAAACTTGCACAAAGGAATTGCGCAGAGAGAACCTCACCATGATCTTGCCGTGACATGTCTTTGCGGCGCCCATACTGTTGCCTTGAACTTAGTAGGTGATTTTCTGCTTTCAGGCCACCTGTCGTCGAGCTTTGAATGGCTGTTTCACAACCTGTTCGGCATCAATTGGGGCCTTCTGATAGGCACATGCCAGCCTCACCTGACGCATGGACTGTACTGGCACCATTCTGCTGGTCAAGCAAGCATACTCCGATTTGTTTCATCTGTCTTGTCACAGAGGTCCTGTCCGAAACTGGCCAATCCGAAGCCCGGTTCTAGAGAATTACTCAGAGGATGCTTGGGTCAAATATCCATCGAGGCTTTCCCGACCGCAGGCAATTTTTACTCTGAGCACATTGTCACATGGCTTGGTTCATTGAGCTTCTTCGCTTGCACCCCTAGATGCGACTTGCCCAACGTCCTTGGACATGGGGAGCAAAAAGCTCTCCAAGAAGTCTGGAATGTGCGTGTTGTCCTCGACACGGAAAGGAATCGCTTGGAAAGGAAAGACTGGAGGCGCCAAAGCCGAAGGGATGTTTCATGAGTGACATTCCAATTGAGCAAAACATTGAGCAAGAAGGCTTGACAGATTCAGCGAGCAACGCAAAGCTGGGTGTGTAGTTGTGTGTGTCTCTTTGTTAGCACTCCCCTTTTGAAGGGGAGCCAAGGGAAGCTCATTCATCACATGGTGTGCCCTTATATTGAGACACACCGAGATGCGGTCCATAACATGTGAGAAAATCAGCTGCTTCTTTCCTGCTCATATCTACTATGTATAGGGGTACCTTGCCCACTGGCGCCCAGACACCTTGTTCACCTCGATCAGCATCTCGCTGGGAGCGATCGCCCGCCCGCACTCGGCCGAACGCTGCACTGCCAGCACCACCGCCAAACTCTCCACGGCATCCCGACCGCTGCAGACCTCATCTCCACCATGGACATGTGTTTTGTTCCCAGGGGAAAACGGGAATTCTCCTGAGACTATGAAAGGAGTTAGTATTGGCCAAAGTCATATTCGGGATAGCTCTGGTAATTTAAATGTTGGCAGGTGCAAAATAGCGAGGTCCTTTAACCAAACCTTGTGGGTGCTTTCAAATCTGGCAGTCGGTTGGAAATCGGGCGTCTTCACGTGTCGACACTAGATGGAGATCAGGAAAGAACAGTCCCAACCAAGTCATGGGCGTCCGTCCGTTTGACTTCGTACTACGGATTGTGAATAGACTCCTGAAAATATGCCTTATATTATTTTGGCTAAAGGGTGTTGGATGGCTTAAGCATCACTGTTGTCGGCCTGAAAGCGAGTCTGTTTTTTGCGAGGAAGATGTGGAAGGGTTGCCATGTTTGAAAGCATAGCACAAAACAAGAAACCGTCTAATTTCGGAAACAGCAAATGCTTTATAACTATGTGTACACAAACGAAGCAAGGTTTCACGAGCTTGCACATTGTACCCAACTTTGAGGCTAGGCCCCCGGAGAGCACAACCCCCAAGTACATCCAGGCCCTCCAGCTCTGGAAAATATGTAAGCTTTACTGTCATATTGGCCAGACAAACACACAGGCAAGCAACCGGAGAGGGACTGGCCAGGTGCGGACAAAGATTGTCGATCTTGAGGGGAGGGAGGGAGGGAGGGGGGGTGCTTCTCATGCGTCTCCTGTATACAGTTTTACAGGTCTTCATTCCAAATAGCCGGCCGATTGGCTCCCACTCCCAACCAGCCAAAAGGGGGTCTTGTGTTTTGGGAGGGTTGCGCGCAGTGCTGGAACGAAGCGCGTCTTGCATCCAAGCATCTGGAACGTCAAGTCCTTCTCTCACACGTGACAAGACTCGCAGGCATGAACGCAGAACAAGCGACTCTCACGCTGTCCGTCCTTGACAGATTCGCAAGAAATGCCGCATCTGCAAGCGCAAGGGATCCTGGTGCCGGAGTCCGATGCAAGCTGCCTGGACTGACTGAGACGTGATTTGTTCAGCACTGTTTGCAACTGCAATGGCGTGAGTGGACCTTGCAAGTGGAAACGACTTGCCAAACATCCCCAGTGTTCACATTTGTCAGGAATCCCATCACTGCTACCAATCTTGAACAAATGCCAGCCCCGCCTCTCTCCCGACCTCAGCTGCTGAACACGGCGTTTGACATGACACCTTTGGGGAATCTCTTCCAAGTGAAGCTTCCCGGTTCGGCAACTGCAGTGAATGAAAGGCAAGCATGCTGAGACTGTAGGCACGACATTCATAAGAGGCACAGCAATGCACATGTATCTTAAAAAGATGCATGTAAGATGCTCCAATCACAGCATCACACTCACACCAAGGCTTGTGTGACAGATTCAGGCGCACTCAAACGAAGGGACCGTCACAACAAAACTAGACCTTGGTAACAAGCAAATTGGTCCCGAAGGGAAACCAAAAGAAGGCCTTGGGGATCCTTGGGGCCGGCTGTGGCACTTCAATTCTCAGGCCCCCGCTGACGCCCCTTCGACGATTAGGGGAGCATCCCAGCCACGCTCCGTGTCCCCGTAGCCAAAGCTCTGAAGACTGGGAAAACCGAGGGAGCCTTGGCTTCGGCTTCCCGACTCTAACCAACTTGTGACCGTATTCCTGTTGAACGCCTTCTGAAGGCGGCAGCCTCGCATGAATATGCGGCCTCCAACTAGTCCCTACCAAACAACTGCGTCAACAGTTGCATGAAGGACAACCATGTAGAATGAAGAGCTGCAAATACTCATCGCTGAAATAACCCTTGTTACTTTGCATAACACATGCCAAGTGTTCATAGAGAAGTCCCTCAATGCGAACAATCAGCATATGTGTCTCCGCATGGGTGAACATGAAACCAACAAGACGGCGCCGTGATCACCTGAGCATGGGCCTGCACGCACACCGCAAACCTAAGCTGGACCTCAAGTCACGTTGGGTACGTCTATTTATTCCACGGTCTGCATCATAGATCATACCTTCACATTGGCATAAGTGCGATCACGCATAAGTGCGAGCTTTCACATGCATCCTGATGGCTGTTCTGAAGGGACAATCGCACTAGTTCATGTTGGCCTTTACCTGACTGGCTTCACTGGGTCCACAGGAAAGGAACCCAATGCCAAGTGAACATGTAGAGGGGCATATGCTTCAGGTTGCCAAACCTCCTGGATTGATGCCAATAACAGGGCTCCCTACAAAACCCATTCCCAAAAACGCATGCTTTTCAAGCGGATTCCTCTACATCAGCTGGAACATGTTCCTTAGGAAACCCGAATAGGCAGTGTTCACATCGACCCACGTGGCCGCTTCAGCCCATCCGAGCTGCGCTGGGCTCCGGCAAAGTGATAGCAATCCCGCGTGGCAGCGCCAGGCACCTCGAAGGAAGACCCAAACGCTTGGAGACCCTTGGGAATGGATAATCACCGATGCGATCCGTCTGAAAGCCGAACCCTCCACAAAACCAGATACCAAGCAAGGAACTTATAGCAAGGAACTTGTAAATAATAAAAACAACAAAAATGTTGCGAAGGCAGGCAAGCCGGCCCGTGAGCGTAAAATCCGAGCTGATTGATATTGATTGATTGTCAGATTGGTCCTACGTCTCGCTGGACAAATCTGTCCCATTTGGCCGCGTGGCGGGTGGATACTTCTTGTTCTCGCCTGTGGTGAACTCGTAGCTCCAAGGCGAAGGGGCAGCATCTGTGAAAAACAGCGTGCCTGTGCGGGCCGTTCGGATGAAAGCAAAGTTGCTCGTTGCTTTTGGGATTCGGGCGCTCTTCATTCTTCAAACTCGCCTTTCTTTCTGCTCGGAAGCGTTGGTTTCTGAAGATCAGGACTTTTAAAAAATGGCAATCATTGTCCTAACTTGCTGTGGCAATGGAAAGGGCGGCTAAATGCTATCCTCTTTGCTCTTCGAATTTGTGCGCATGTGCAGTGGGCGCATTTGTTTGGCTGGAAACTCATGGTGCAACACAAATGAGTTAAAAACTGCCAAACGGGGCACTTGTGTCAAACAGTGTCAAGTTTGAGACATCGTGCGAGCTTGAAGAAACAACTATAGCAAATGTGGCAAGGTCCACAAACCAACCTCCAAATGAAGATGTAAGACGGAGGTTTAAAGGGCACTGGACTGATATGGCTTTGGCGTTCCCTGGCTTTGATGCAGACCCGCTCTGGCCAGAATGTGGGACTCAAGCCCGCTGATGCTGGGAACGGCTTTACTTGTTGAACCCATGATCAAAGTGAACCATGTTGAAATTCTTGGGATTCACTCTGAAGAAATCCATCCACTGAGTGAAGGCCACACAGAGTATCAACAGGGTGGACATTTGCCCAAAACAAACACACACACACACACACACACTCGCTCCCGTGCGCGACAAGTTCATTTCACCCCAAGGTCAGCTCAGCATGGGGCAAACATGTACCACCAAGAGCTGGCTTGATTCTTGGCAACTTGCCTAGCTTCCAGTCCAACTCCTCTGATGTTGAATTGGTTAATGTGCAGTGCAAAGTCAAGCCCTCCGAGTTCCTGTTGGTGTTCTGGCCCATTGATTGCAAAGCTGACTGACACCAAATTCCAAATGCTCTTTTGTCTATTTCGCTCTGGTGCATCTGAGAGTTCGCACGCAATGCAACAACCACGTGCCAGGCTTCGTGCGTCTGCAAACACCGGCTTCTTGCAACTGGCTGCAAAATCATCAGGTTCGGCTGATTGCAAGATTGACCTCCCTTCACTGATAAACATGTGTTGGGAACTCCTGGCCCTGCGAACGACGCCAAAATGCCTAGTTGTTGAGCACCACCCCTCAGTTGTGTTAGATGAAACTGGATCGTTGAACAAGGCAGCCGAAACATATTCCCTACTGAAGCACGCGTTCTGAACAGTACTCAATTCAGTACCCCCTCCAAGCACATCAGAGGCAACACCGCTGGTGGATTCATCTGGCTCTTCAAAGATCTGGGAACCTCCTTGCACTCCTTTAAAGTGTATCCCAACAGAAATCATTTCGAATCTGACCGCGAGACCGGACTGATCCCTGAAAAACTCTCCAGAGTGACCTGCCCAAAGGCACGCCTACAGCGCCATGGTCAAATGTGACCGCCACGGCACCGGAGTCTTCCACCTGCGCGGGTTTCGCGCGGGGGAGGAGTCGTTGGACCGCGTTTCCACGTCTGGATGGTCTTCCCAGGACTGATTCCTTACTAGGGGGAGTCTTGATACCGGATGTCTGGCAAACACGCCAGGGTTCGATTGAAGACGCCAGACTTGTCCTACTCAATTGGAATGCTGCCTTTGCAAGCAAGGAGACGTAATGTAGTCCGAAGCACTTCCATGATAGGTGGATTCTAGAACCTGAACCACATGCATCGCAGACATGTACAAGCAAATCTGAGCAGCCCCCAAACCAAATGTGAACGCATGACAAGATTTATGTAGGACTCAAAGCATTCATGATTCTCGATTTGTCTGAAAGAATCAGAAAGACCAAATCGTGTGAAAAAAAAATGCTCAAAGTTCAAAAGCTTGATCGTGGAAACCAAGCCTGAGAGTTTGGCAAAACCCAAGTAGCAATTCGGTGTATTGGGTATATGTTAACAAACAGCACAACAAGTACAGGAGAGACACAAACAATCTACGCTATCCCATTGTTGACTGTATATATATATATATATGTTACTGCTGTCAACAAAATGGAAAAGAACACGCTGCTTGTCCATCAAAGAAAATATCCATGGAGCCATAGGTCCGTGAATGCACCCTTCAGTCCATTGTTCAAGCTTGTGAGAGAATGGCTGTGCGCAAACCTATTCATCAATAAATAATTACATCCAGGACATGCGTGCGTGTGCCTTGGTGTTCGTGTGCGCGTGTGGCTGCGCTTGCTCGTTCCGCTGGCCTCTATCCACTTCGTGATCTAACCCACCCGCCTTGCAGTGCCCTTGTGAACACCCAAACAGGCCCAAATAGAGCCACACCTCTTCCCCGCGAGCAGCGCTGCTGATGGTCGCAAACACACTGACGATCTCATGGCCCGTGATATATCCTGTGCAAGACGGACAGCCCGAGGCAGCTCGTCAAAGAATACCGACCTAGGGCCCTTGTGCAAAACTGCAAAACCCGCAGGTAGCGTAGGCGATCGGCTTGTCAAATCATTCAGATTAGTGGATGTCTTGCTACCTCAACACATGCGACCGCATCTTGCGGCGAGCCGCGCATCAAGTCAAGGTCATGGATGGTGTTGATCAAAATGGGGCCGCCGATGCCCTTTTTGCGGCGCCACTCCAGTGCTGGGTCTTCTTTGCAGAAGTACGAGTCTGGCTTGAGCAGGGAAAACTCCTTAGGAAGTCATGGGGCGAATCAAGACGTTCAGAGCGTCTCTGTCCAATGTCACACGTGAGGCATTTTGTGGCTATCTGTGGCTTATGCCTAGCCTTCAAAGGCAGGGGCAACAATGTCCTCTCTGACAATAGCTAGGGACAAACTGACAAACAAACCAACAAGCGGATCAATCAAAAGAAACACACCAACAAACAAACAAGCAAACAAACAAACAAACAAACAAACAAATGAACAAACCAACAAACTAACACACAAACAAACAAACAAACAAACAAACAAACAAACAAACAAGCAAACAAACAACAAACAAACAAAGAAAGAAATACAGAAAGGAAGAAAGAAATAAAGAAAATAAAGACAGAAACAAAGAAAGAAACAAACAGCAAAAACAACAAACAAACAAACAAACAAACACACATACAAACTAACTAGCTAACTAACTAGCTAACTCCATCACTCACTTAATCAATCAATCGATCAGACAATCAAACAAACAAACACCAACAAGCAAGCAGGCAGGCAGGCAGGCAGGCAGGCAGGCAGGCAGGCAGGCAGGCAGGCAGGCAGGCAGGCAAGCAAGACACGAGCAAATAAGAAAATAAATAAACAAACAAACAACAAACAAGTAAGCGATCCAGCGATCCAGCGATCAAGGGAGCAAGCAATCAACACAACCACCAACCCAAACAACCAAACGTACAAGAAACATGCATGCATTCTCTTGGAGACTGCCCCAGAGGCTTTTTTGAGTCCAACACACGAGGCAAATGATGCTGTAAGAAAAACAACTGTTCAGTGCGTATTGATTTGTGAGTGAATTCCTAATTCCTAAATCAACGGTGACAGTTTTGGCACAGCCACACCGCCACATCCTACAGGTTCTTCTACTAAAACAAAACGCAAGCTTAGGCGCTTCGCCTCTTAGGGCCTCAAGAAGCTCGGCCAACAAACTGGACGTGCATAGTGACCAAATCAGGCGCCCCTCCAAATGGTCGTTGTCCTTTTGCTATTGCCTTGTAACTATCCGTTTCAAAAGGGGGTGTGGGCCTCTTCTCAATGTGCCTGTGCCTGAGTACGCCGGACAGCCTTTCTGGCTTAATCCGACTCTCAATCCTTGCCCAGCGGCCATATTCACCCCGCGCAGCGGGCCGAAATGACGGTCCTCGGGGCGGTCTGCTGCAGCAAGGGTTCCCTGCTGTTGAACCAAAACAAATAAATCAAGAAGACTAATTAACCCAGTGTCCATTAATCTGAGCTCCCATCTTGAGGAAAGAGCACGTTCAACAGGGATTTCAATCACTACCAAGCAAGCAAATGATTGTCGGCTATCCCAGGGTCATGATTTAGCCTTCCGCAGTCCTCACGTAGGCAGGTTGTGATAGAAGTTGAGGGGCGTCGCTACAACAGAAATTAAGAGGCGCGTGTTTTGTTCCCACATATATAATATGACAAGCGGAAAGACTCCCTGTGACAGCCAGTTTCCACTCAGATATGGGCATCTCAACGTTATTGAATCAGTGTTCCTAACTCCAGCACTTCGTTGCCGCCGCGCTCTTGAAACCTGCTCGAACAAATCCTGCCAAAACCCAGTGGCAAAGCTCATGGATCCGATTTGCAGATGGCAATTAGAAGAGCAGAATCCACTTTTGAGCTCTTTGAAGTACAAGAAGATGTTCCCTTTAAACCAGCAACTACCCAACAACATCCCGTCTGAACAAAAAACAACTCTCAGGCACACCAATCCCAGGTAAAAACATCCCAGGCGCCGTGACCAGCTCCCGCGCTTTCTGTACCAACCTGGAGTGTCGCCGTTGGTGGCCCACCAGCACCGTGATGCCCGCCTTGTCCGTGAGGCTCAACAGCTCTGTGGCCTCGAGCTGCCACTTGGTCGATGAAACATGGCAGGAGTGTCCCCGTTTCTTGGAGGAGCCCTGCACTTGTTGTTCTTTTTGAGGGAAACACCCGCCTCAGCCAGGATTATGTACAGTATTCGGGTCGGCATTGTCAACCAGCCAATGTGTTTCTCTTCCAACGATATCCCTGGAAATCCACGACTGTTTTTAAAACGTCCTTTGCACCTCGCCTGTTTTTTGCAGCTAACGCCTGTTTTTTTGCGCCTGCAGTGAGCCATGGCGTGGTATTTGATGGATTATTCATGCTGTTGCCACGTTTAGATTGTACAAAGCCAGTTCCACCCCAACATGTCTTGACACAACAGCTTTGGTGTGAACATAGCGGTCCGTCATGTACGCAAAAGTAGCGTGAAATCACCGTGAAAATACCGTGAAATTGGCGTGAAAGCCTGTTTTCCAGCGTGAAAGCACGTTTTCTGCCGTGAATTTTGACACCGGTGAATCTATGTGTTTCAGCCTGTCCTTTGATAATCCCTCCGCTTGTTTTGTGGGAATGGAGGTCAAGTCTTTGCACACTTTGGTCCTGAGCACGTGAGGCGCCCGAATTGTTCAATGATATTAGCTGAGTTTGACAAAACTACTCCTGGCAAAAAACCGCCTTTCACAGAAAGCATGCAAAATAAACCGCCTTTGGAACCCCAGGGGATATCCTCAACACTGCTGCAACAAGTCTGGCCTCTCGGAATCCCAAAGCAAAGCCCAACCAAATGGATCATCGAACCACCGATCCTTTGACGAGCCACGCTTGCCAGGTCTTGGCAAATCGGCTTCTCGATGAGAAAGGCGCGCAGGCCTTCGGGATGCAAAGCGAGATCCGGCCGTGCGAATTTTCAAGCTTTCGTCGCATGGACACCCGCAGCCACGGATGGATCAGCATGGGATCACCCGCTGCCTTGGGCGATTTGTCCAAGCACCGCAAGCCTGGCCTGAGGGTCGCTTGGCCAGGCGTGCTCCCTCAACGCAGGCCTGGGAAAGGGCGGGAGTGACGCACTCCTAGGACCTCAACCAGGGTTCCTGGTACCCCCCAACAGGTAGTTGCGTCCAATTGATACAGTGTGTTGTGGGTTCAGTGAGAGATGGGAGGCCTCACCTTCAAACGAATCCCCAGCACTGGGTTTCTTGCTGCGTGACTTGTTCGGCTGGCTGCTCTTTTCCCCTGGATATTGTGCATCTGAAGGAAATCAACGGAACTGCGTTTGGGCCCAGTCATCTCAAGAAGGATCCCCAGATTCATGTTTTGAATCCTGGGCCAAGGGAATCCCAATATCTGTTAGACCTTGCACATCATATTCTTGTTTCAATGCCAACACCTCACACGGGGTAGCATTCACCGTTCCCGGCCTTTGCGATGGCCAAGTGCATGTGGGTTGGCACTGCGATGATGACACCATCTAGCTCCTCCTGCCTGGCCATCTCCTGGCAGATGGCCGTTAGCCAATGCCGAGGTCGGCATGACGTCCACGCATCCGCTTGCCTTTCACTCCAATTCAGTGGGATCTGCGCGCCGCAATTTCTGGCAAAGCTCCGGAGTTCTGACACGAACTTGCTTTCGAGCTAAGGGACAAACTTTGCCTACTGCGCCGCTACAAGCCGCGGGCGATTCAAAGCAACAGGGGCAAGATTGTTGGCTTCAATGGACGGTTCCGTTTATAAAATACCTCTATAATGATCGTTGTTCTTTAAGATTCTGCACATATCATCCAAAATAAGGGGTGCTCCAAATTTTGGATACTGACTCCCAAATAAGTCGTGCCGGTCAAGGCCCCACTCAACACAGCCTTCGCATCGGTGTAGAGCGGAACGCCCAGTGAATCTGCCAGGTGCGTATCATCTGCTCTTCTTTGACAAATGCAGACAAGCTCCTGGCGGGAGGGTTGACAAAAAGCCACTGATGGTGCACAATCATGCAGTGACGCCAGGAAGTGTGAGGGCAATCTTATGTAGTTAAGCCTTTCCTGCTCAGCAAAGTTAAGTCCCACATCTCCAATATTCTACATGTCCAATTGATAATGGTCTTAAATGGTTGTTGCAAACGAATGCAAACAGCGAACAAGCATCGAACTCACGAGCTTACAACGCATATCATGGATGGAACAAACACGTCCCATATGTTGCATCTCGGCTGTGCAACTCGGCTCCGCATCTTCCATCTGTTTGATGAGCATGCCTTGGCTTGCGAAAAGCAATAGCGAATGCGAGTATCTCAGTTTCACTTTGAAACAAACCCAGCGTACGGACAGAATTGGTTGATCTTGCACAGGCTCAAAAGTTGAGTCCTCAAGGAGAGTGAGCAGGAAAAGCGTTGTCAATGCTTTCCAACATCTGCCAGAGGGGTGATTCTCCAAACAAGGGCACCCTCAAAAGGTGTCATTTCCCCTGTTGCCCTTTGAAGTAACAACTAATAAGGTTACCCTCAAAAAAACTCACCCAAATGGAGCCCATTTGCCACGGAGCTTTGATAGTGGCATGCCCATGACTGCAGCTGCGATTCTGTTCATGTTTCTTCATGGGGAGCCCTGATGAAAATGGGCATGCACTCAACATTTACCAACACCTGGGGTACAAAGTCCCTGAGGATCCCTGAGGCACGTGTTGAGGGGCCCGGGTCCAAAACCTGGATTTCAAGAACTTAACCAGTGCCAGTGCGCTTTTTTTTGTTTGCCTTCGGCGGGTGCGGACAATGCAGTGAACAGGGCGAGTCACAGTGGGTGCTTCCGACAAGGGGGCCTGCACCGACAACTGCCAGCCGACATGGCATCTTTCTGGAGCACAAACAGCTCTGAAAGTTGGCCTACGACCCTTTGAAGTGAGGAACTGACATGCGGGTTGCAAGATCCCCCTACCTTAAGCGGAGGGCTGTGGGGCAGGCGTGCTCATAAAAGGAAGTATGGAGCCATACATGGAATCTCAGGAGTCACCACCTCCCCAATTCCATTTTTAAGGGGGGTGGGGAGGTTGCAACACCTCCGATTGTCCCTTCGCCACATGTGTAGAATGCGCACTCTGCGGTTTTTCTGAGGCTGGCCGACTGTTCACGAGCTTGGGCGCAATCTGCTGCCAATTCCCCACGGTTTCAGAAGCCAACACACATCTGGCAGAATTGCAACATGGAGGGTGAATGTCAACACCATGGCGCCTTGTGTCTGAGCCGTTGACATGAGCCATCTTGAACCAGCAGGCGGCAAATAGATGCAAATAGACCACATGCACCTTGCCTCCAACGCACTGTTCACTGCCTGCATTGAACACGTCAAATTCACAAGTCTCGTCCCCAGCGCCCGGAAATGCCGAAGTCGGGCTGGGCCGCCTCCGTCTCACCTTCGATGTGCACCTCGTGTGTGAATGCACTCATGGGGCTGAATGGCCCTGAAGCCGTGTATCTTTACTGATGTGGTAAGACGCATGAAACCGCTACGAGCTGCACCTAGGTGCCAAAACCAACTAGTTACTTTCAATATTGCCGTCCAATTGGATGACACCCCCAAGTCTTGGCTCTGACAGCTGTTGCACTGTTTTGGCGTGTGCGTGAGTGTGGTCTCTCAGCTCACCGCATGCTGAGGCATTGCTGCTTCTTCGTCCGTTTGCCACTTGTCACCTGGCAAAGGGCTTGGCTCCAAAGGGCATCCTCCTCCCAAAATGCCCACAGTGCTCGAACAGCATGCATGCCTGAGACAAACATGACGGCGTACCGATGTCACGGCCACGGATGAAGATTTTGCACCCAGTCGTGTCCTGCAGGGATTGTTTTTGACTATTCGATCAAGCTTGAACCCGAGAACCAGCGGACCAGTGGCTAATTGTTAAAGCCTTTCCCTTGCAACTGAAGCACATGACGCAAATTCGCCGTGTGACAGCACCAAACCAAGTCCTGAAGCCTTTTGTGGTTGACACCACGAGGACCAATGATGACGCCCATGAAAGGTGCCTGGCAAGGCATGAATGAGCACGGAAACTCGGCCCAATCGATGCCTGCAGTGCCGTTTCTTTAGGTGACAAGTGCCTGGGTTCTTCCTCCTCGACCCAGCGTGCAACTAAACTGATAGGTGCCACTTCCTCCCGTTTCACCGAACAAAGTGCTCAGTTGCACCCTCCATCTGCCCAAGGTTGCAGGGCCTGAGGGAACTTTTCCTCAGCTCAACAGCAACAAGTGCTGCACGGCAAGCCTCGACGGCTATGTGCCAGGCAAGGCTTGCCAAATGGGACATTCAACGCATAGCACTGACCTCACTGACCTCACTGACCTCACTGACCTCACTGACATCACAGAATGTCAGGTTCAAAAGCAACGCCTGGAAAGTTGGCCAACCAAATGGCGTGGTTGCGAGGGCTTGGCAAATCCCGCTTTGATCCAAGGCTCGATGGGGATAATGATCTTCTTCATCAGCTTGGATGGCTTCCAGTCCACAGGCGGCAAGTACCCGTCCACATGCTTGATCATGTACCTCAGGACGCTATTCGCTGAGGCCAAGAACACTTAGCACCTATACCTAGCCACATTTAATCGGCTAGCACCGTCCACTCCTATGCTGTCAGTGGACATCGAATTTCCCCCAAGCTACAACACGAAACCTGCTTGCCAGCGGCCAGCTTAGCTGACAGCGGGGCATGAGCATGGTTTGCTGAAACCTTGCCGGTTCAGCAACTTCCTTTCAGGTAGTCTCCGCTAAGGTCTTGCAAGGATAGGAAGACCCTTGGTGACTCCCGGCAAAAATACCCCCAAAGCCTGCCGCCGTTCTGACATGGCGAGCCAAGGCTCCCGGTAAACTGGTCTGAAGGAATCGCAGCTACATCTTCGCTATTGCTATCCGCACAAGTGGGACTTGAAAAGGAGTTGTCGATCTGCATCCATGCACTAAGGCATGCGCCGAATCAGTCGGTTGTACTCGGCCGTCATGGCCTTCCTGGCGAAAACCGGAATAAGTCGCTCTGCACTAATGAGCGACTCTTGAAGAAGCGGGAATGCCGTTTTTGAAATGACAAGTTGTCAAACACGGGTATAGCACAAATATCGTCACTGCATATGCGTGATAAGGACGGAATCCCACAACAACAATAACTACAGCTTCATCATTTCTATCTGCTAGCTTGGCAATCCAAAGAGGCATCGTCGCAGCAGCAGTGGATGGGTCAAGTTCAATGGACAGCTACGGGAGAAATCACTCAGTACCTTTGCATGCATCTCGGCAAGTTACAAATCACATATAATGTCTGAACGGGGCTAAGCAAGATTGACCGCTGCTCCTTATTAACCGTAAGTGTCCTGCCATCGCATGATCGCCAGCCCTGCCTGATCCGTACATCCCGCGTATTCAGTCGATTGCCGCCCTTGTCGTAGACAGGCGGCGGCGACGGTGGTCTGGCAGTGTGCAATGGGAAGCCAGAAAGTCAGTGTGTGGAAGCCAATTTGGCGGCTGGGCAGCTCACAAACAATACTCCTTGCAACTGTCAACTGCCCTCCAACTCCCCTTGACATTGAAGCTTTTTCCGCTGATTCCACACATCATTACAAGCATGTTACAGCCCGCTTGCGAGCTTCCCTGAATTCCGATCTTGCATGCAAACCATGCAATTCCCCAACAGCCACGCAGCTATACACTTCCGCGCAGGCCTAATGTCTGGATCTACATCTTCCAGTTCGTGGGCCTGGCAAAAGAACGGTCTGCCAAATGGGAGGCTCATTTCGTTAGGTCAGAAAGCCGCCGGCAGATTGTAAGCAACAGCTGAACACAAACAGATCGCTGGAACGTCACACTGGCGGTATCATGCTACATTGATGTTGTGGATGTTGCAGCATGTGCTGCACAAGCATGTCTTGGAGAAACGACAAGAAAGGTTTGCTTTGTTTGTGTCAGACTCAGGCCTAGAAAGGCTGGGTATTCTCCTAAAATAGGGCCCCCCGAAGAACAAGGGGGTTTTAAAAAAAGTACTACCCTGAACAAAACGACACACCAATACACACCCTCTTGCTGGAGCTTCCCCACCTGAATCTTGCGGTGCAGGTCTTCTAACCGCTGCTCGCGCAGGAACTGGTCGATCTCCTAGAGCGTCTCCCGCTCGTGTTTGGATCAAAATGAGCGCGACTCGTTTGGGGGCACTAAAAATCATGCATATTGTTATACGCATACTTCATATTCATAGGTTGTCTTTCCCACAAACAAACAAGCAAACAAACAACAACAAAACAAGTTGTCCAGGTTTTATATGCGCTCTCTGGCTCCAGTTATCAATCACCGCATATCTACAGCACTTCGGTGCCCATAAGAGAGTCGTTGTTCAGGGTTTCTGATTGTTTGGTTTGTGCTTAATTTGTGTTGTTTGCATATATACATATACATATATTTGAAACAGTGCAAGTTTTGTAGCTCTGGGCTTTGGATGTGTGCCTGTGTTGTGCATGTGTTGTGCATGTGTATTGCAAAAGCCTGAAACAAAACAGGCTTGTTAAGCTACTGCTGCAACACCGCTGGGCTTTACGGCACTCCTTCCGCTGCGATTTGGGAATCAAAAACACTTGCACTGTGCCTGAGGCATGCAAAAGATACCATGTAGTCAGCATGCAACATAAAAGAAGAAGATGCTGATGTGGGCCCTAGGGGAGTTACTATAGAAATGCATGGGGCGCAAAAATCATGACCAGGACTGCAGGTCTTGGTCAAGTGTCCCTTTGCCAACCTTGCAAGTTCTCTATATTTCAACCATGGATGTTTCCTGACATCGGCTATGATATTCAACCGCTTGAACTGTTTAGACCGCTTGATATTGCCGCAAAGTGACAGACTCGTGGGTTGGCATTCTGGCAAGACACAGGACCCTCACCGTTAAACATTGCTGAAAGGTTCACTCTCGCCAAAGGTCCATAACCAATCAACCGACCTCTCGAAAGTAATGTCCAATCGACTTTTATTGAGGAGCTACTATTGGAATAGCTAGAGCCTAAACTCTGCACAAATGCGATGCGAGAGCACGGTGGATCAATACTGATCACGTGGCCGAGCCTTCTCAGAGAGCCCCATGGGAAGGTCCACGTAGCTGAGGGGCTTGTACCTGTTTCATTTCAAGAAATCAAAGCCTGGTATCCCGCGAGTCGGGAAGGCAGGGAACTTTCCGGACTTCGTGCTTAGTGCTTTGGAGCAATAATGGAGACATTCCCTTGGTGAAGATTTGTTTTGGTGCAGTCATGCCTCTATGGCTCCGAGCACTCAATAGTGAGATGAAGGCATATGATGGAAGTCTCCAGCTCCCATTTAGGAGATGCTAAATCATGCCTGGGCCTCGTGCTATGCCAGAACTAAGTGAAGAAAACTAGTTCATGTCCCAGGTGACTTTGAGGTCGCATCCTAGGCTTTGAACAAAGGCTCGCACGGCTTGTCGTCAGGGAGACCCCATCGCTTGCCTTTCTTTGCAACCTCAGCTCCCGAGTCAACCTTTTTTGTGTCCCAGGCACGGACTACAAACAACATGCAAGCTACAATGTCATTCTAGGCGCTGGAGGGGTCAAAACAATCAAGGTGGACTCAACAGCGGCTTCACTTGATCAAGACGCTGATGCAAGCTGAAAGGCACACTGCCTCAGAAACAGATATCAGCGGAAAAAAAAAACACAATTCATTCGCAAGAAGAAACGTTGTTGAACAAGCATGATACATTTAATTTGTTGGGGTCAAATGCAAGCTCTTCATCCAAGATCCGCTCCTTGCACTCAGACCATCTGGATCTTCGCTTTGGGCCATCATCAAAGGCTGCAATCGTCTCCTGACAGGCTGTCTCGCAGCACATCCGTGTTCCAGATACCGCACGGGGAAGTCCTTGAATGCGCTTCCCTCCAAAAAGGAGCCTCTTCGTAGCACGGTGTTGACAGCAATTAATTGGGCAAGCGCTTCTTTGATACACAAGAGTGGTGTCCTAAGGACAGGCTAGGTTGTGCCCATCAGAGTGCGTGTGTGTGTGTACATCAAATAGCATATTCTCCCAAGCATCCGTCGCTCCCGACACTCAAAGCACTATGAAGTGGAAAGTCAAAAGCTGACTCATCACGCAGTACCTCCCCGGGAAGCTTCCAGGAAGCACACAATGGCTCAAACTCCCATCCTCCTTTCAACAATCCGCCGCATCACTCAAACATGAAACGTGGAAAATACCACCCGTTTGTCAAAGTTTGTTTTGTCAGGGTTTCTCACATCTCCCTATGAACATCAAATGAAGCTCACGTTCACTTGGCGACCAAAAGGCGATGCTTGAAAGCATCCAAACGGAGAGATAGCCCCGGGCTCCCGCGCAAAAACCACACATATGACCTGTGTCCTTTGACCCAAAGACCAGCATCAACAAGTACTTTTGACTCAGAATGAACAAACAACCCACGTTTCGTTTAAATCAACAAGGCTTATTGCTCCCGGGCATTGCCCCCTACTCAAGCCCTGGGTGGAATCAACTCCAACTCCATGTCAGGCACTTCCGTCAAAACGCGCTCCTCGTGGCGCACCCCAGCCAAGACAATGGCAGAGGTGAGGTCCGAGGCCACCTCGCGACAATATGCTGAGCTCCTGGGGACCCTCAACAAACCCAAATCAAACCACAAATTGAAGCTAAGCAAATGGATGCGACATGATGTAAATCCTAAGGGACCCTTTCGGAAACTTGGGGACCCACATCCAGCGCTCAGTAAGGGAATCTTTTGCAGCGTGTTTAAGGCGACACTTTAAGAGGGTTTCAAATTATTTGAGAGGTCCCAAATCTTGATCCCATGCAAGAGCTACAAGCTCCTGACCCTGCTCCCCGTAAGGCAAAGTCAACTGTTCCGGCATAGGTCCACGGCCATATCATCGGGAAGAGCTGTCATTGTGCCGCGATTATGTACACCTTGTCCTCCCTCACCTGATGGCCGGTCCAACTATGGCAGCATCAGCGGGACATTGACTGTGTAATGTGGGCTTTGGGTGGTGTCTGGGCCAGCCACTGTGGATGGGATGTCACACAACCCAAACTGACAAACGGTGAAGACTCCACAAGTCGGCCACATTCGTCCATGCTACAATTGTCGCTCAGAGCCGGCCTCATCTCAATTCAGAGGGTACTATCGCAAACACATCTTGGTTGCATTTGACCATCAGTGACATATTGTTGATGAAAGAGATTGTAGCTACATGATATACTTTACATAGATGGCTTGCAGTAGCCCCAATTGCAAGATGCATGAGGTGCTCCAAGAAATTATCCTCTTCAGCTTGTGCAATACACAACATATGAGGGACGCAACTCTCCGACATGAGTTCTACATGCCTCTGGCGGAGGGGCACCACTTTCAGCCGTCTTGACTCAGAGCCCCACCCCGATCTCGAGAGAGGGAGCGCCCCCAAGTCTGGCAGGCCAGGCTGCCCCTCCGAGCCAAACGGAGGGTGCGGTCGGCGGTCGCACGCGTCGGCAATGGCTTGAGGGATTGGGTCGGAGTCGGAACGAAGCAACTTCCGCATGAAGTTCAGCCATTTGTACATCTGACCCGCTTGTGTGCGATGGGGCACTGTTTCAATCAGGAAGATGTGTCCAGCCAAAGCTTGCACAAAGCTGTCAGCGCCCATGAGCTTTTTTGGATCAGCGCCGCATCCATCGATTGCAAAATACTTGATCGCTGGGGCTGTCAACAGCGTAGGACCTTCAGCGATGGGCAGGAAGATCGCGAACAAGCAGTTGGACTTCTTCATTTTCTTTAAACAAAAAAAGTAAAACATGAACAATCCCAAGTAATCATTTCGCTGTTTTTTGCAACTGGTCCTCCCTCATGACTCTGTACCCAACATCAGAGGCGCAGATGTGAAACGCAAGCATAAGTGCCTCAAGCTCGTCATGCTGCGGCCAAACCGCAAGGAACACATTCGCCCACCCGGCGGCCGCCAGGGGGAGAAACACCCAGATCAACTTGCCAGCTTAGACCGAAGGTCATTCAAAATGTGGTTATAAACAATAGATTTGTTTTAAGTTATGGCATAATTTTACAGCAATGCACGTTGTTGGCTTGTTCCGCTAGGAACTAAGACAATCTTCAGCTCGCATCCTGCGAGCTATCTGGCGCAGCCTCAGCTGGAAATTCAAGCTCCAACTCGCACACCGGCCCGAATGCACAAACAAACACACCCTTCCGCAGGTGTCCCAGCACGCAGTGCCAAACGCCATGTGGCATCCAAAACAACTTAATGCTTGCCAAATTCCAAAGCAGTCCGAATCAGGCCCTTGTCCCCAGATCAGTCAGAAAATAAGGATCAGCCTGCAGCTGGTTCGTGTTGTTTTTCTTCCTTTGTTTCTTCCTGGATGCACAGAGCTGTGGACAGTCGACGGCGTGTAACAATAATATGTAGCTCAAACGAGAAGTATGGGAATGACAACTAGGTTTTTCTGTGCGCCTCAGCTGAGACTGTACGGCTCAAATCTTTTGCCCATGGCATCTCTCACAAATAACTCATTTGCAAGGCACATGTGGCTGTCCACCAAACAAACAAAAGGAAATTTGCCAGTCGGTGAATTTTCCCACAGCTGGAGCAAGCGGAAGCAATCCACCACAGTTGTTGCATGGTCTGACTCAGCTGACTGGCCGCGAGCAACACTGCCTATTTCATGGGACGTGAAGGCACACGATTGCAGCATCAGCCTCTTTCCAGGCGTCGCTGAACTGACATTGACACATCATCAGAAGTCTGCAGAATACCAGTAAATCGCAACATTTACAGGGGAAATCGAGCGACCCCCCCCCGTTTTTGATTGAAAGGGAGCCAAAACGGAAAAACTCCGCGTTTGGGGTCCCAATCCCTGTTTTGACACAGTTTTTTTTGAGCTCCGAGTACACGGCACCGGTGCCGTCCGCTGGGGAAGCGTTGTCAGCTTCAGAGCTTGGCGCCTGCGCTGCCTGTTCCGCCTGTCCGACCCGTGCCACTGCCCCACTTGCATCGGATCGGCCTTCAACGAGCTATGTGTCCAACCAGCTTTGGAAACTGAAAGGACTGCTATAGGATGCTATGGGCAAGTATCTGCCATGATAACTAACTGACCCAAGAATCCAAACCTCGACGGTTGCGGTCACATTGGCACACAGTTGCCTTAACTCCCTAGCACTGGTTCGGTCCTTGGCCAAAAGAGCTCTGCAAACAGATACCTAGTTGGGTCTAGTCAGTGCGCTCCTGACATGAGTGCATTCTGTGTACCGAGCAAGTCTCCAATGAAGAACTCAAGAGCATCAATAGTTGAGGTTCTGCAAAACTCACACTCGAGTATCCAAACACGTGATCCATTGTGTTTGCACAGTGCATAGAATCTCAAGGATGCAAAGGCACACAGGAAACCAAAGAGTTCACACGCCCCCAGGGCCAGCAAGCACAAGCCCCATGCCTCTTTGTTGCCGCTTGCTCGAGCCTGCGCATTTTTTGCTGTGACCGGGTGCCTGCAATCCTCGCCCTCCCTGTAGCCACAGGGGGCAAACCAACGCAGCTTCGAGCACCCTTACACTCTGAAGGGCAATGCAGAATATATACTTTATGAACTCTGAATGAGCAAACCCATCAAAACCGACAAATCCGTCACTCAATTCAAACTTGTCCTTCCGCAATGTTCAAACGCACATCTTGCACATATATATATATATATACATATATATATACATATATATATACATATATATAGAATATGCACGAATGCATCTATCCCATGCTGCTGCTACAACTGTGCACGTGCATGGGGTCAGCATAAGAGAAAAAAAAAAGCAGGGGTCACCATGAATATGACATACTTATTAATCAAATACTACTACAACTTGTGGATATGTAACATCACATGCATGCATGTATATTATCCGCGTGTGTTGTTTTGTTTTGTTTTGTTCTGAGGACCAGCCTTGTTTTTGTGGGGGGCCATGTGGGATTTACCCATTTTGCGACACACCCAGACCACGTCTTCTGCAGCAACCTAAGTTTCCATGCAGCAAAATCCCCTTGCCCCAACTGGTGCCTTGCTATCGCTCGCCAACATCGCCAGGCTCCCGTTGCTGGGCAGGCTGTTATCCACCACAGGGTCCTACATTGTCTGCGAACTGAGACGAAACCAACGTGCCAACTTTTTCAGCCACGGATTCTAATCGTTTAGTTGAACATGCCTTTTTGATCCTAGACCTTGGATTGCTGCTCCAGACTCCAGAAAATCACTTCTGAAAACCCCATGGTTTGGCCCGCAACTACGGGCTTGACGCTCGCTTGAAGGCTGTTAAAACTGCAATCTTACGCGTGACCAAGGAAGGATGAACCTTGGCAGCATCCGAGATGAGTGAGGCAGCGCTGCCAAAGTTGTTCTGAAGGACCCTCTTCAAGAAAAGTGCCTATTCACTGCTTGGTCCTTCGCTAGGAGCATGCGGGCCTGGGTGAGCAGTTGCAGAGGGATCTGGGGAGCCGCAGACCAATGTCAAAGAAAGCCACCAGCGACTGTTGGCATTGCCCCCAAATTAATAGCACGGGGTTCAAGAGTGATACTTAAAAGTCCAGGCTTCAGGGTCCTGGGCAATTGTGGGCCCACCTTTCTTCCTTCTTTGCAGGTACTTACAAGCGACAGATGTCACACCAGCCCCATGTCGCACAGCCTGTCCACTTGTCCCCCAAGCAATTGCATCTGAGCGCCGCTCCGCGACGACACTGCCGATCAATACCACGAAGAGCATGACGGACCTAAGTACAAAGTCCCAGCCCCGAGGCTCAATGTGACCAGGGCATGGTCGCCCTTTCTCATGCTAGCATCAAGGTTTCTGGCGAATCAGTAAGACAGTGCAGTGATCCAATGGGACATCTGACAAAAACGGGGTCAACCCTTGGAGCTTGCCCAGAGCCTGCCAGCTATTGTTTTCTTTGCCAAAGGCAGCTTGCTCTGAGGTTTCAACGTTTCTGCGGCGATGTTCCATTCAAGGTCATGCATGGGCGGGCGATCCGGTTTTGGAGATCAATTGTCACTACAAATCTAACAACCCTAAACCCGTCGGGTGGGGAAAAACACGACACTTGGACGCAAACGCGCCCCTAGATCGATGCTAAAGTTGGGGGTTGGAGCGCTGAGCCATGGAGCTGCCAGACTAGTCAACTAAGCTGGGAGAGCATTGATGAGGCCCCATGCGGTCTGCTTGAAGCGCTGGTTGGTGCCAAACCATTTCGATCTAGAATTTGGAGGCAGGCTCCTGGTCTTGGTCCAACCCTAAACCCGGCAACTGAGGCGCAAGCGCCAGTGCTAAAACTGGCATGGCGACGCCGCAAACGCCTAGGACGACCACTGCAGAAAATACGAGAAGACAGGTGAAAGGTATGCTTGCAGGAATCACAACTCCTTGTGGAATTGCAAGGAAGAAATGGAATATTGGCTAGTTGTTGGAACCACCTTAAATGGTGCCATCTGCTTCGCATTTGCTGACTCTGTGACCTTCCCAATACTCCTGCCCAAGAGCGCGGCCCACGTTGATTTTGGTCCTCCCCTGACAAGGAAGCTGCTACTCGCCGTTCCCAATATACGGCGATACATTTCAAAGAAGACTACCCTCAAGCACGGTGGGTGAGACCAAAGGGTCCCAAAACAAACTTCATACACATGTGTTGGACCAACCCTCTGGTACCATCCAGAAATACAAGCACAAATGAAAACAGTCTCGACCGCCTTCTCCACGTTGCTTCCCGTTGCACCTTGATCCTGGGGATGCAACTGGCTGTCGCGCAATCAACTGACATATCAAGCTAAGAGGCCCGGATGATGACAAACTTGGGGTAGCACCTGCAGACCAATGGCTAGAAGTATGCTTCTCTGCGGGAACGAATCAGCCACACGCGCAACCCGTAGATTAACAACTGCCATCTGCAACAGGAGGGCAAAAACCTGATGTGAGAACGACTGGTTCATAGAGTGTTGAACCTTGCGCATGCTGGCGCATCACCTGTGCTCGATATGAAGAAACGCATGCAATGCTGCAATGCTTGATCCATGGACAGCAGATTTCTGTTGGCTCGCACACCGACTCCGCATAAGCCCGCCGCTGCTCGAACCAAGAGCATCCACATCCAGCCTGAGTTTCCAAATTCAGGGTATGCAAGCTGCAATGAGAGAGACGAATTTCAAATATTTCAATCTATAAATTGCGCCCTCAGCAAGGCTACCATAGCTATCGATGCGAGATGCCAACCTGCGTCGCGGGGGTTTGCCCCGAATATCCAGTAAAGTTGCGCAGCTTCATTTCCTGGTGCTCGTTTCACATGCCATGAACCCGCGAGGGGCGAGGCAATGAGACCTCTTCACGATAGCTTCATCCCAACCCAAACCGATCCCAGAAAAAGGGCTCAAACGAATCCTGAGTGGTACTGAAGCCGCCCAAGGGGCATGACAGCCCATCTTCTCCTGGTTCTCGTACATGCATCCATCGTCGCTGCCGCGCCTCCGAAACCCGCGTGCAGTCAATTGCCTGATCTCTGCGATCAACGTGAGCCCACAAAGCCAAATACGGGTTGCACGCTGGCAACGGAATGAACGTGTACTTGAGCATGTGACTGCCATGATTTTACCCTCGTACACACTCACACACGATATTCCTTGAGAATCAGTTGAACCAACGCAAGGTATGTGCCCTTCCTGTCTGCGCAATAAGCTGAAACTGCAAAACACCTCGTTCTGGATGACGTTCTGTCAAACAGCCCCGGATCTTCAACAACTCGATTGGTTTTTTCAAGTGGATGGACAAACACATTCTACTCAAACTAAGGAGCTCCTGACAAAAAACAAGTACATCTCTTTTACCATCCCGCGAGTTGACCTTCTCTGGGCACTTTGTGGCCTGCGCTCGATGCGCGCATTTCAGGCCAACATTTTCTGAAGCCGACAGGTCCCAGCGTTCCCAGGTGTGCCATGGCCCGAGGTCTCCGCATTTGTGCGACGTCGTGGGCGGTGAGCGTGCCTCGATAGCCATCCGAGCTTGCAGTGGATGACAAGAACCACGTAGCAACTTGACCACTTGGACTGTGCTCAGTTTAAGAACCCTTGGCCGAGGCGAAGAATCGTTTGCTTAATCAAGGGTCAGTTGGCTGGGGGAAAATTCACAGGTCCTGGGGGCTGGCTGGTCTGTCTATAACCTTGCCAAAGGCAAATGGAAGTCGCATGCGCTAGTGATTAAGTTTCAACGGAGAGCAGCTGCGAGGCAAGATCGTGTGTTGTCAAGCGTTAACCGCCTTCATGGCGGGAATTGGATCATCTCAACCGAAAACCCAACAATTTAACACCCAGTGGCCTTCGTGCACCAGAAAGCCGAGAAAGCAACAAACAAGGCTCATCAATCCGCCTCCCTCCCTGTCACCAACAGAAGGATCTTCCCACGTTCTGCACAATCAGGATTCCCCCATAGTTGCTCTTTGAAGGAACTCACTGAAACTTAGACTTAGCCCATAACTAGCAATCGTTAAGCCACCCAAAAAGGAGGAACCATCCGCACCCCTGACCCAGCTGTCCTGCCATGTCCTGCCTTGACTTTCTGCACTGGATCTGCCGTGGCTCATCTCACCTTGAACGCGAATGCGGGAGAGGCTTGGCAGCCATTTGCCAAGGAAGCTGCCTTCAACCTACTCCTCAAGCAGGTTAAGAGAGGCACACACTTGGGTGGTCTTGGACTCCAAGCAAAAGTCAAACATTCAATCTGGCGAGCTTCCAAAAGGTAGGTTAAGGTCGCGCCAACGCGCAAACAAGATTAAACTAGTCTGTTTCTGTAGCAACATCTGGAGAACCGCGCAGCACAACTGCAACGTGTCCAGGTCAGCGGCTGTCACTCCTCTTCTGTCTGGCCACCTCTCAAAGCTGTGGCATAGTCCAGAGCCCGCCACACGCAGTGGCTTGGCAAGCACCCTTTGAATAGCTCCGATCAGTGACATCTTAGATTTCTGTCCAACCATGCTAGCCGTGCGACAAGCCTAATCTCAATGCTTGGCCTTGGTAAATTCCTGCGAAACCCAGGACATCCATCCACTGACGGGCGCCATGGCCCATGGCATTTCTTGCAGCTCATGGTGCCCGGCCCCAAAAAAGCGCTCGCCTCCGAGATGAAGTCCAGGGCAGAATGGTCATGACCGGCCACCTGACTCCCAGCTGGCCGCTTGACAACAAGTGAGCAAACAACAGCCATTGCAAAGCCAAAGCAACATACTGTCTCACGCTGTGTATGCAACGGCAAATTGAGAGGGAACCCACTCAACGCCTCGAGTCTTTGAAGGTCCAAGCGACAAAAAACGAGAAACGAGCGTGCCGACTCCCCATGTCTGGTGGGTTCCACCAAACAGCATTCTGGGCCCGCTGGCTCGGCTTGAGAGCGCCAGTTGCAGGTGCCTTGGCAAAAGCTCAAGCCGGAGTGGTCCACGAGTCAGTCTGGCAATGCGAGATATGCGGCATCGGTCAACTCCGGCCAGCTCCGGCCAATTCAACGACTACACTGATTCCGCCCACACCGCGACTCCGAGTGCCGCGCAAGCACGCCAAAAGAGCAGCTCGGTGACCCATCACTTCCGCATGGAACAGAAAACAAAGTGAGCTGAACCACGGACAGAAGCCATCGCTGGGGCAACGTCTGAAGGTCCCCCTGCACCTTTTGAAAGGCTAGGACAAACATGGACTTCACACGTCACGTAGTAGTCTTTCACAGGCAAACTACTGGGAGCCAAGACGCAGCGCCATGTGCCTTCTCTTGTTGCCTTCCTTTGAAGCACCGGGTTCACTTTAAGATCACGTCCTGCCACCGATCGATGGCTGCTGGCCATGTATGGAATCAGCCCTTGGCCCTTCCCCTTCTATCCCCTCATGGAATGAACCCTCACAAGCAAATGCAAGCGGCCCAAGGGCTGTCAGACCCACAAGTTGGTCTGTCGCACGTTGCAAGCAACGGAGTGTTGGCCAGCTTTACTATTGGACATGATGTCAGTCTCATGCCTCGGTTCCAATTTGACGCCTTCGGATGCGAACGAAAGTGTACAACACAAAACAAAGCTGCGGCAGGTTGCAATCAGTTCCGCCAATTGAGTCACAAGCAAAAGCCCGTATTAAAATGGTCTACCCAGAACATGTAAAAAATAAGAAAGCGCCGCAACTACCCGGGTTTTGATTGTGACTCAATTGAAGTCTCAGCACTCCCCAAGGTTGAAATACAAACTCAGGCTTCCACGCAAAAGGAATTCCTGCTATCTGCTAATTGTTGTTTTACAAGACTGGATCGCTTTTGTGGATCGCCGTGCTAGCTTCCTCACTGGGCAAATGTCAAGCCGGTCCCTTTTAACCGCATAGCGTGGATCCAGCGTCCGGGATGCCCGTGTTGAAAACTACCAAACTAAGTGCTTTTGAGAATGTCCAGGCGCGCTTTTGCGGGCCCGGCGTCTCGCAAGCCTAGTATAAAGTGGGGAGAGAGCCCCTTGAGGACACGCCCTCTCTGCCAAACTCTTAAGATCTGGACGCCTCTGGCGTCCAATTTGCAGAAAGCAGCCGGTCGGAAAATAGGACCGCTGTGCAAAAAGCACGCAAGCAAAGTGTATTGCAAAACTGATGCACGCCCTAATCTGCCTGAAAACAGATTCAGAAGAATCTAAGCTCAGTCAGGCTGATACGGGCACACTTACACTGGGCACGCCGCTACCGCTAGCTCACTTACATCTCTCAAAGGCCTCCGTGCTGGCATGGAAAAATGCGGCCTGAAACAGTGCTTAAGTAGTGGCTAATTGCGAGAAGGAGACAAATGGCATGGCCAGCTGGCAAGTTTGGCATGGTGGAAGCTGAAGCTCCGGTCTTGAACACATCCAAGCGACAGAAACAGTGAACAGTTGCAATCCGCAATCCTCACGCCTGAATCCATGATAATTGCGGGACGGTTGTCAACAGTAGTGGCCCCTTTTGAAACCCGTGTCATTTGGTACCTCCCTCTCATCTAAATGGCGAAAAGCATCCATCATTTTGACGCCCACTCCATATGGATATGGGTCAAAATTAAACCACTAGGGGACCGCAGGTTTTAGTCCATGTTTCCATTTACCAGGGTTCAATTTTGGGAACTGATTTTTGACCCACGCCCATATCAGGCAGGATTCTAGCATTCCTTCTCGCGCTCTCAGCAAGCAAGCCTCACTCGCATCTAGTCCCCAGAGCTGGTCATCGGCCGCTCTGCCTGCGAACGGCGCAAGCGTCCCTCGGGTCGCAGGTAGGAAGTTGTCCCCCATTGGCAGGAGCAAAACCCTGCTGGAACAACCAGACCCGATTTGGCCTAAGGAAATGCCAAGGAGGTTCTTGAAACAATAGTGGCTTTGACATGTTTAAGCAAGAGGTTGGCCCAACCCTGCCCGGCATGGCCTAAAGCCACCTAGGCAAGCATGCTTTGCCACCATGCAGCTTGACACAAGGGCGCGGCTTTTCTTGTTCTAGCCATCTAGTCTTACCACGTGGGAAGCTGTCCTTGGGTGAAACTGAAAAGGCAAATGCGCACTCACTGCAGCAGGTCTGCGATGTCAGGCTTGCCCGGCTCGCCACCTGGGACATTCCTTGTTGTTTCACCATGTTTCACCAACACACCTTCACAGTGTCCAACACATTTGCTAGACATACCGTGCCATCAATGTTGTCTATCCTGTCGCAAAGTTTGACTGTTGTTCCTACGGGAAAAAAGTGCGGCCACTTTGAGAGATTGGACTCGAGTCAGGCTTCTATCACTGCAAGCTGGTCAAGTCATACCCGTCAAGTCATACCCTATTCCATGCGAGCTCATCCGTCGAAAGGCACATCCAAAGCCGCAAGCCCTGATTGTTTCACACGAAACATCCCTACACAACAGACCAAGGTCTGCGTGTTCGGAGAATATCTCCTCAGCCTCACCGCACGTTCTCCGGGTGTCAGGCTGTCGTCTGCACTGGCAACGGGCGCCACCGCGACCTGCGCTGAGTGCTTCGCCGACTGAGGGTGATTCTCAGGCATTTGGCCAACTTTGGAAATGTTTTCCCTAGGTTCACGGGCAAGACATTGTAAATGGGATTTCCGGTCATGGCAGTGAATTACGCTTCACCATGGAGAGAACCTGTGCTTGCGTGGGCGATGAAAAGCAAGCCCGCTTCACATCGGTGGAGACAGGGTACGGCACTATTTGAAGCCATCTCGGCATAATCAAGGCTGATGTTCACTGGGCTTTCAGAAGATAAGAGATGCATCTGGCTGAAGTTATTTGGTAACTCACATTTAACTCCACATTTGTGCTTTTCGAGGTCACCCCTACTCGCACATTTCCATGCCAACCCCGTCCGACCTTCAGCTGCTTCATAATCCGCGCAACCTGCCGGCCGGCATCAAGAAGCCGCAGGTTGCATCACACATTTGCAACATGCACAAAAAAACACACTCCGACGCGCACTTACAAAAGAACAAGCAAAAACACACACACACACACACACTCACAAGTACACCCATCGACTTGCTGGAGCTGTCGGATCTGTCGAAATAACATCACCTGCAAGCTTACGGTTTGTATCATCGAGAGTGCTTTGGTGTATTTCTGGGACGAATCCCAGTTAGCTTGCCAGCTTGACACATGGGGCGCAAATAAGTCTTGGATCAAGCAGAACAAACTGAACAAATTGGCTCCTGCATGAGCTTTGACAGCAGAATGACCGTGATCCGTGCTGCGCTCAGGACAGAGCATGGCTGTAATACCAAGAGATGCCAACCATCCAAACATGTTCAGCGACTGGAACAAAACCAATCTATGCCAAGAGCATAAGGCGGTTGGACCGGTTGGACGAACCCTGGGCAAACCAGGCACTTGCAAAACTCGTAGCACAAGTATCAGCATGCATAAGCTTCAAGCATGCAAAGCGCTGCTACTGCGAATCTCTTGATGAGGTCATGCTGGCCCCTAGGCTGCAACTGCAGCTATGCAAAGGTTTATGTTTCTGCCAATGGCCACGTTCGGGCCAAAAAACAACTGTGACATGTCGACGCCATATCAATGCAGAAGGATGAAGTGGCAATGGCCCGCAACGATGCTACGCAACTCGACAATCGCTTGTCTTGCTATGATCCCTAAACTCACTACAAACACTATTACGCCCAATTCGCTCACTCATCATGCAGGCAAGATATCGTTTGTTTAACCCTTCATACCTCCGCGCCTCAATTTGCAGAAACGTGAAGATCTGCTCTTTCTGCAGACCCGCCAGAGCTTCAGCATCGTTGGCCCTGATCGCCTCTACCAAATCCGTGCCCACCTGACAGCCCCATTGCAGTGATTGCAGTTGGTGGTGGGATCTGCAGAGCCTGCGACAATGTCATTGTGGCAACAAGCAACTAATGCCCAAGCAAACAGTTGTCTGGGGCACATGGGGCCCGCACTACAAAACGTGACAAAGTCTTGCGCTGCAGTGGACTTCGGCTTGGGGCCCTGAAACATGTCTGCAAGTCTAAGTTCTCATATACTCTAATTTAGGACATGTAGGACCTTTGTGCCTCAGCCATCCAAAATGTGAGTAAAATGTTAAAAGCAATGGGCTACAACCCTGCCAGAGTCACAGCCATCCCCTTCAACTCAGATCGGTTCCAAATGCAGTCCAACAGTCAGACTGTCGGACTAGTACAGGGGTCCATTCCCAACCCCTAGTAAAAGCTTGTTTTGACCAAGGTTCACACAGAAGCATCGCCCGCCTGGCACTCTCTGGACACGAACCAGCCTTGCTTGAAAGGCGCTCGCGCCACCAGAGCCAACGACACCAACAAACAAATGTGCCGGTTTCAAACACCATACCTTCGCATCTTCCTGCACACCACATACACATGACATTGAAGGGCGACACATGGGTGAATTGATGCGCGCCTTGCCAATTCGGCACATGATGAACTATAGGTTTGACTGCAATTGCATGATCAACTACGTCAAGGTGACTCGGAAAGGGATTAACTGCTGCTGGCATGACAACGGCTGCGCATGGAGAGCATAGCAGCAAACCTAGCAACAGGGTCGTTAATCCATGCGGGTTGATCTAATCCGACCTATCCGCTACAAGCCACCCAAGTCTGTCCATTTCGCTGCTGGGCCTCTTTTGCTTCTGACAGCCACGCGATTCTACGAAAGGTGAGCTCTGTACATCATGACGTAACAGCCACATGCTCCAGAGCAGCTGTTTTATCGAACACGCTGCGCTACACTCGAGTGCTGAGGTTTAACCTCTTGAAAGTTCTGCAAGGAAGCCCCATGGACTTCGTTGCGAAGCTGTCTTGTACAAGAGCAGCTGCTCTATTCAAGCGTGCAGCTTCTGCCTGTCCTTCGGGCCCTGACCTCTCGCGCGCGCTGCTTGGAGGCTCGTTGCGCCAAGAACTTGCGCTCGGGGCGGGGCGGCCTTCACGAGGCCTTGCGCTTGGGGCAAGCGTTCACCGCGGCGCTGGAGGCCCAGCCGAGGAGTTGGCGCCAATGCCCGTAGATCCAGCCCAGGCCCAGCACGGCCTTCAGGCTCCCATGGATCGACCAGTGGTCCTCGGGGCAACAGAGATGAGTTTCTAACTTGATATGTCTGATCTCTCTTTTAATTATGTACCCAAATGCAAGAAACATGCTGCGTCATCTTCACTTCCCTAAGGGGAAGCGACCTTGTCTGCCGGCTCCTCATGGACCTGGATCTGGCCCGAGCTCACCGTCAGGTGCGTAAACTGCTCCAGCTGCACCGTACACATGCGGGGCAGCAGGCGCGGCACATACCGCACCGTCGCCTGACTTCAGGCTCCCTTTGCCTTCTTGTTTGAAGGCCAGTTTGGCGTATCTTCTGTGCGACTGAATATGGCTCCAATAACGTAGTCGACTCTGGGCTAATTTCCTCTGTCTTTGTCTATAGTCTTGGCATTCCCTGTTCAATTCTCTAAAGAGCCTCACATCCTGTTCATGAAACCTCTGCCAGGGAGCTCCCAACACTAAGGCTCCCACCAATTTTCAATGGAAGGACACACACACAAAGAACCAACGAACCAACGAACCAACCAACCAACCAACCAACCAACCAACCAACCAACCAACCAACGAACCAACCAAACAAGAAACCAACCAAACAGGAAACCAAGAAAACAAGCAAGTCAACACACAAACAAACAATTAGGCAAACACGCAAACAAACAAACCAGCAAACCAACCAACCAACAAGCAAAAAACAAGCAAAAAACCAACCAACAAGCAAAAAACAAGCAAAAAACCAACCAACCAACCAACCAACCAACCAACCAACCAACCAACCAACCAACCAACCAACCAACCAACCAACCAACAAACACAAACAAACAAACAAACAAACAAACAAACAAACAAACAAACAAACAAACAACTAAACAAGCAACAACGCAATTGACAAACACATAACACAAAAGACAAACAAATAACACAAAAGACACAACCAGCTAACCAACAAACAAACAAATCAGCACGCTTACCTGGATCACCAGCGCTTCACCCACCAGGCCAGCTCCGTGCACTTGAAAGTCGATGTCTTGAAACAGCATCCGCAAGGATCGAAACTGCGCCTTCACGTGCGCCTGGGAGGAGATCCCCGGGCACAAGACATGGGCCGCACATTGAGAAATGTTAAATGACAGCCTGGGCTTGCTGACAGCATGATGAGGGTACTGCATGAACCTATGTGGCGTAGCTACCTATATATATATATATACATATATATATATATATTTATTTATTTGTGCAAGTCAATCAACTATACTAAGCCATGCCGTCGGGTGTGGTCGGCTAGGTACTGAAGCTAAACAGCTACAACCCGTTTGGTCGCCTCGCCCCGCACCTGCCCAGCAACCTCCACCAAAGGGTCTATAAAGCGGCAGTCACTGGTATAGTGCTTGGACACCAAAGGGTCAGACTCTGGCTTCATCGAATACATGCCCTTCACCACATCCACCAACTCGCGCTGTTCATTCGTGAGATGTTTTGCCATCATCTCTACCGACGTCATGGCCGCGCAACGCGATGCCTTTCTTGGGGCTCCTGAGGCTTTTGACTGCAAGCTGCGCCAGAGCGGCGCTGTGCAAATGTCACACAGCTAACTCGCGCTCCTGACATCCTTGCAGGTGGACCGAGGTGGACCCATCCGGGAATCACACCTACAAAATGTGCCACCACCTTTGGAAGAAGCCTGAAAG